CAGCCATCCCCAACAAAAGAAGAACCTGGTAAAGGAAGACAGCCATCCCCAACAAAAGAAGAACCTGGTAAAGGAAGACAGCCATCGCCAACAAAAGTAGAGCCTTTTAAAGGTAGAAAACCATCAGAAGATGAACCTTTTAAAAGTGAAGAACCTTCACCACTACCTTCAAAAGAAGAGCCTGTTAGAGGAAGAAAACCATCACCAACTAGAGAAGAACCTGTTAGAGGAAAAGAAACACTTCCAGTGAAAGAAAAACCTATGACTGTAGCAAAATCTTCTCCTACCAGAGATGAACCCATTAAAGATAGAAAACCTTCTATAACCAAGGAAGAAGTTTTTAAAAGCAGAGAACCTTCTCCAGGCAAGGTACAACCTGTAAAAGAAAGAACCCCATCCCCAACAAAAGAAGAACCTACAAAAGAAGTAAAGCCTTGGCCATCAAAAAGTTTGCCATTTGAAAAAGATGTTAAAGAATTAACATCACCAGTAAAAGTAGAAAAACCTGATGATGAACCATTGGATTATACTGACAAACCAGAAAAACAGTCATGGTCTGTTACCATTGAAGAACATCAGAGAGAGACTACATCTTTAATTATAGAGCCACAACAAAGGACATACAGACCATCTTCTCCTTCAAAAGAACCTGCCAAGAGAATTTCATTTCCATCAAAAGAAGAACCAACAGAAGAAAGTACTTCATCACCAACTAAGGAAGAACCAGAAAGAAAAGTTAAATTCCCAACTAGAGAACTAGAGAAAAGAACACCATTTTCTGTTAAAGAAGAGACAGTTAAAGGAAGAACTCCATCATTAACTAAAGAGGAACCTAAAAGAAAAGTTTCATCTCCTACCAAAGAACCAGAAAGAATGACTCCCTCTCCAACTGAAGAAGTGCAACTTAAAGAACCAGAGAGAAAAGTTTCGTCTCCAGTTAGAGAAGTAGATAGGAAAACGCCATCTTCTACAAGAGAACCACTAACTAGAAAGAAATCCCCATCACCAACTAAAGAAGAACCAGAGGTTATTGCATCTTTGGCTAAAGAACCAGAAAAAATGACACCCTTTTCTATAAAAGAACAACCTTTGAAAGGAAAGACTCCATCTTCAACTAAACAAAGACCAGAAGAAAAACTTCCCTTATTAACAAAAGAAAAACCAGAGGAAAAAGTGTCATCACCAGTTAAAGAACCTGAGAAAAAATATCCCTCTCGAACAAAAGAACCAACAACTAAAGGAAAGACTCCACCACCACCTAAAGACGAAACAGAAAAAGATTCATATCCAGTTAAAGAACCAGAGAGAAGATATCCTTCTCCTAGCAAAGAAACACCATTGAAAGGAAGAACTCCATCACCAACTAAAGACCAACCTGACAGAAAATACCCACTTTCTAGTAAAGATCTAGATAGAAAAACACCATCACCTGTAAAAGAGTTACCATTCAATGGTAGATCACCAGCTAAAGAAGAACCAGAAAAAAAGACGAGGTATTTTGTTAAAGAACCAGAGGTAGAAAGTCCCAAATCACTTTCTCCTAAAAAAACACAAACAGAACAGAAACCAGAAATTAGTCATATAGTATACACTAATGGTACTAATGGAGTGGAAGAAACAACAGTGACATCATTTATCACTAAGTACATTGAAACCTTTGAGGTACCTCCAGATGGATGGTTTTTAAAAGAAGCTGTTGACCAGAAACTGTTTGATACAGAAACAGGATTGTTTACAATACCAGGAACAGACAGATTAGTATCTTTTGAGGAGACTATTAGATTGGAGATAATCAATCCAAAATCTGCCTCAGTAGTAGAACCCTCTACAAAACGGACAGTTTCTTTGTTGAGGTCCCTGGAGAAGGGGATACTGGACTCCACTGGTCATTATGTAGACAGCAAAACTAAGGGCAAAATCAGTATGAAAGAAGCCATTAAGAAAAAACTAATAATCTTGGAAGATAGGATTGATGTTGTTGATGTAACCCAACAAAAAACCACGAAGGTGATCCATATCACACAAATGGATGGTCAGCCTGATCAAGTGACCATGGTGACAGAAGGTGGATTTGACAAACCTGTCCCCACTCAGTGGGGATTGGACATATTGTCAGATGTAAGAGGATTTCCAAAGGTAAGGACTGAAGAAAAAGTTGTTAGTGTTACTACGACTGAATACATAGAAATAGCTCCAAATATATACTTTGAACCAGGTTCAGTTGTAATTCTTGATAAAATTAATGGGGAAAAGCTAGATCTGATAACAGCAGTTAGGTTAAGTAAAATTGATGGTAAGTTATTTACTGTTCAAGAACCTATATCGGGTAAGAACATTTCATTGGATGAGGCTATTAGGAAAGGGGTCATAGATAGACGTACAGGGGACTACATTGATGACAAATTAGGTAAAAAAGTTCCAATTAAAGAGGCAGTTAAAGATGGTTTAATCAAGCTTACAGCTACACCAGTTAGTACTGGAACTAAAGTAATAAAAACAGTTAAAGGTAGTTCAGAGCCTGGCACCACCACCACTACAGAGCATGTCTATTATAGTGTTACCACCACTACCACCACCACCACAGAATCAGGGGTTACTCAAGTGAAGGTAGTTGACTCACAGACGGGAGGGGAAGTTCCTTTAATTGAAGCAATAAATAGGGGACTTTTAGATTCTGATTCTGTTAAACAGTTCATTCAGAAGGATAGTATAGAAGGTCCAACCAAGATATCTGAAGAAACAATAAAAATCAATAAAACATCAACTTTGTATGTGCAAGATCCAACTACTGGTGCAGAAATACCTCTTGATGAAGCAGTAGACAAAGGAGTAATAGATGCAGACACAGCTAATGCCTTGAGAGGTAGCTGGAAGATTCCAGAAAAGAGTATGCGAACAGCAACAACATTTACACTTGAGGACCCCAACACTGGAGAGACTATTCCTTTGGAGACTGCAGTGGAAAAAGGTTTGATAGATTCTGAAACTGTTGAAAAAATCCATAAAGGAGAAGTCACAGAAATCATCATCACAACAAGAATCACTGTCATTGACTCTGCTACAGATCAGAAAGTACCCTATGAAGAAGCTGTCAAGAAAGGTCTAATAAAACCTTCAACAGAAAAAGAAACACCCATAAAAGTTCTAGGCCAAGAGACTATCAAACTTTCAAAATCTCCAAGCAAAATTCCTCGAGGTTCATTCACTGAACCCCGGTTTGAGGTCACAATTGGCAGAGCACATTCACAAACATCTACCAGAAGGGAAGGTATGGTGTTGCAGAAAGTTCGTCGTAGGATTATGTCCCCAAGGGAAGCAGCTAAAGAAGGAATTCTTGACAATAACACAGCAAAGATCTTAACAGAAGCAGAAAATCTGAAAGGTCCAGATGGAAAACCAGTGAATCTGACTGAAGCACTCAGACTTAAACTAATTGATGGCAATACAGGGGCAATTCCTGATCCTTGCAAAGGTGAAAACTTGACCATCAGAGAAGCACTTGACAGTGGTCTCTTAGATTCAGCTAGTGGGAAATTGATTATTCCTGTTGGTCGTAGTCTGACTTTGCCAGAAACAGTTTCTCAAGGTCTTATGCTTCCCTTAGAGCAAAGAATCATCCATCCTGAAGTTGGTGTTAAGTTGACTCTTGAGGAAGCTCTTCTCTGTGAAATAATCAATCCCCTCTCTCAAGTACTTGAGCCTGTGGTCAAAAAATATTTAACTCTAGAAGAAGCTATAGAAAAGGGTGTCATTGATCGAACAACAGCAGAAGTTAGTACTGCTAGTGGTAAAGTCAGTCTTGTGAATGCTGTTCAGAAACACAGAGTATTTGAGAAACCAAAGATGATTCTTACAGAATACTTGCCATTGTTAGGATTAACATTCCCTGTTGCTCTTCAACAAAGTTTTATTGACACCAAGACTAAAGAATTTATTCACCCTGTTACTACTAAGCGTATTCCTCTGAGAGAGGCCATTGACACTGGAGTTATTATGACACTACCAATTTTGCCAATTTTAGATAGTGTAGAGGTGCTGGAGGCCTTGGACAAACACTTGATTAACCCCAAAAAATGTACAATGAAACATCCTAAAACAGGGGATGAACTACCAATAAAACAAGCTGTTGACACTGGACTGTTGCAGATGAAGCCAATTCCTCCACATTCAGTATTTGTAGAAACACATATCCCTACACAGGTTACCACCTCACAGTCATCTTCAGTCTTGCACACAGTTGTGGAGTCCCAAACAATTGAGTTACAACCTGGATACATTATGACAAGTCCAGATCATGTACAAGATACTCTATCAGGAGAAATAATTTCCATCAATGAAGCCAAGACTCGTGGAATTGTTAAGATTGATACTCGAACAGTGAAAACCACAGAACCATTGACAATTTCTCAGGCTGTAGAACGTGGACTCGTCAATCTAACTGAGCGAATATTTACTGAGCCAGTTACAGGAAAAGAAATTCCCATCTCTCAAGCTATTTCTGAAGGTTATTTACAAGCAGTAGAAGAAACACAAATAACAGAAATTACTAAGTACACCATCTCACAAGTATTTAAATTCTTATATGAAGAAAAAACGCAAAAGTTTAGGCATCCTCGTACACAGAAACTGGTGACTCTTGAAGAGCTAATAAGACAGGGATTTGTAAACTTGGATGCTGTAATATATGATACAAATACTGGACAGCTCATGACCACTGCAGAGGCAATTAATGAAGGCAAAATAGATATCAAGACTGGGAAGATTCTAAATCCAAGATCTGGAAGTAGAATAACTGTAATAGAAGCAATACAAATTGGAATTATAGCTGTTATTGATACACCAGTTATTGCAGGTATGACTGTTGTAGAAGCAGCAAAAAGTTTAATCTCAAAGGAAAAGCCTAAACCTGAGCCTTTTAGCACACAAAAGAAATCTCCATCACCACCACCCAAACCACGTGCACCAATTCCTAGTAGAGAAAGAAAGCCTTCTGTTCCCAAGGAAGAGAAACCAACAAAGAAACCAGCATCTCCAACCAAAGAAAGAAAAAGCGATCTACTAACAGACAGAAAACCAGTATCACAACATGAAGGTGATTTTCCCTCACCAACAAAAGACAAAAGTTCTCTTCATGATGATACAGAATTTGTTAAATCAGAAATTACTGTCACAGAATCATACACAGAATTCAAGAGAGACTTTGAAACTCCATTGTTCATAGGACGTCATGTGCCCTTGTCGAAAGCTGTTGATAGTGGGTTAATAAACCCTGACACTACTTACATTATAATCCTTAGTACTGGTCAAAAACCAAAAGTTCGAGATGCGTTGAAAGACTCTGTTGTTCCAGAAGATGCTATTGTTGAAATCCTTAGCAAAACTGATGTTATGTTAGTAGAAGAAAGACCTGAAATGCCCACATCTTTTTCAGTCACTTTTGCTATTCAACAAGGGTTCTATGATCCAGATTCAGAGAGTTTTATCAACCCTCAAACTAGTCAGCCCACCTCATTTACAGATCTCTTGGCTATGGGAGTAATAGAGCCTTACAGAATCAAGGTTAAAGATCTTAGGTTAGGGCACTTTGTTCCTCTTCCAGAAGCCATAAGGAAAGTGTTGATTGACAAGAACACTGGTCAGATGGTAAACCCTAAGACTGGTCAAAGGGTTTCATTCTTTGAAGCTGTAAAGATGGAATGGATTATCTATACAGAAGTAGATAAACACACTAGAACAGTGACATCAATGACTCTACAGCAGGCCATCGAAGATGGACTTTTTGACACTGATAAAGTAACTGTTCTAAACCAAATATCAGGCAGTCATGTTCCACTATCTGAAGCCTTGGAAACAGGTTTGATAGAACCTAGCTCTGTTTCGATTTATAACACCAAGATAGAAGACTTAGTTTCTGTAAAAGAAGCAGAAGACAGTGGTCTTATAAATCTACCTCAAAACACATATGTCAACCCTATAACATGTCAGGAAATCACTCTAGAAACTGCATACAAGAGAGGCTTGATTGTCATCACTAGGCGCCCTGTATCACTGGAAGCTGTTATAAAGAAAGGACTCTATAACCCAACAACTGGTGTGATAAAAGATCCTGTAACTGGCCATCAAATGGATTTGGATCAAGCTGTTAAGAAAGGCTTGGTGGATGCATTTATAACTGAGGTGAGAGACATAAAGAATGAAAACTTTGTCTCTTTGGATGAAGCACTTGAAACAAAAATTATTATCCCAAGGTCTGGAAAAATGCGAGACACAGCTAGGAATACCCTTCTAACATTGGATGTAGCAGTGCGAAAAGGTCTGATAATTACAAACAGAATCCAGATTTCCCTTGTTGATGCCATTAACCAGAAGCTGTATTGTCCAGAGACAGGAAAGTTTTCAGACCCAGCAACTGGTGAAGATCTGACTTTGGATGAGGCTATTAAGATAGGTTTTATTGATGTTGAATCTGTAAGGGTGAAAGACACTAGATCTGATGTCTTAGTTCCTCTGAAGGAAGCTATTATAACCAGGATGGTAGATGGTCAAGCAGGAACACTTACATATCCAAATTTGTTGACTTTGGATGTTGCTTTATTGAAAGGTTTCTTGATAACCACAAGATTTCCTTGGGCACTTCAAGAGGCTCTCGAACATCGTATGTATGATACAGAAACTGGTCTGATGATTGATCCAGATGGTGATGAAAAAGTCACATTAGAAGAGGCAATCAGACGTAAGTGGATTGACAAAGAAGCTTTAACAGTGAAAGACCCTCGCTCAAGTGACATACTTACTCTCACAGAAGCCATTAGAGTAGGCATAGTTGATCCAGTTTCTGGAATGGTTACTGATCCAACTGTTGGCTCTGAAATGCAGTTTTTTGATGCTTTAGAGAGGGGACTGATCATTCCAGCAAAAAGAAGATTCTCTCTACCTGAGGCTATATATAAAGGATTTTATGATCCCAAGACTGGCAAATTTGTGAGCCCAGAGTCACAAGAAAAATTACCAACAGATAAAGCTATTAGGGGAGGTTTTATTGATCCACATTCAACCCTTGTTCGAGATGAGATATCTGGTCATATTTCATCTTTCAATCAAGCTGTGGATGAAGGAGTTATTGATATCAAGGAAGGTAAAATTATGGTGAACAAGATAGGTAAAAAACTCAACTTCCAAGCAGCTTTTGATCAGGGACTTTTGATTGAGATCAGAAGGCCACTAGCAGTTCGAGAAGCCATTCAGAAAGGAGTGTATGATGAAACGACTGGCTGGTTCTTAGATCCCTCTGTAGGACAGTGGATTACTTTGCGAGAAGCCATCAGTAATCATCTGCTTGATCCTGATTCTGTCCATGTGAAGGATACTCGTACTGGATTCCTAAAGAAACTTACCCTTGTTGATGCAATGGAGGCTAGTTTGGTTAATGGAGAGAGTGGACGAGTAGTGCAACCAGATGGAAAAGAAGTGTCTTTCATCACAGCTTTTGAAACAGGCCTGATTATGGAAAGCAAAATGTCCATCTCTGTACAGAAAGCAATCCATCAAGGACTTTATAGTGAAGAAACTGGTAAGTTCACTGATCCAAACACAGGCAGAAAGATTACACTCCACGAAGCTGTCAGGCGATTTGTGATTAATGCCTACCTACCTTGTTATTGGGAAAAATCCTCTTGTAAGCTTTTAACGCTAATAGAAACTATCCGTGCAGGTATCATAGATCGCAGAGCTGGGATATTTAGAGAACCAAGCACATCAGTTGAAATGCCCTTAAATGTAGCACTAGAAAAGGGCTTCATTGTTGACATAGAAAAACCATTTGGATTGTTTGAAGCCATTACAATGGGTCTATATGTAGCTCCAACTGGGAAGATAATTCATCCAACCAATGGTAGAAGGTTAAGTCTTGAGGATGCAGTGAAAGAAGAAGTTATTGACAGTCAGTCATCCATTATAAAAAATAAAAAGACAGGAAAATACATGAAGTTACCAGAGGCTATTAAAACTAAGCTAATAGATCCACATCAAGGTCGCTACATTGTACCTGGAACCAAAGGAGAGCTAGATTTTTATAGTGCAATTGAAGAGTGCTTAATTGTTAGTGCAAAGAAGCCATTAACTCTAAAAGAAGCTTTAAATATGAAGCTTTTTAATTCTGATACTGGCAAGTTTACAGACCCAACGATTGGTGATCAATTAAATCTTTCTCAAGCAATTGAACATGGTCTAATTGATGGTAATACTACATCTGTTCAAGATCCAAAATCTGGCCAACTGATGTCTATTAGGGTAGCAATGGAACAAAACTTTATAAATGTGAGAACAGGTACTATTAAAGACCCACAGACAGGCAAGTTAGTTTCCATTATGATTGCATTTGAACGAGGAATTATTGTCACCACAGAACGGCCAATTACATTCCAGCAGGCCATGAGACGAGGGTCAATAGACTTTACAAAAGGTACTTTTAAAGATCCCAGAACCATGACTGAGTGTACTCTGGAAGAAGCAATAAAGAATGAATTAATTGATCCTGAGTCAGCTGTGGTCAAAGATCCAGTAAGTGGACGTTTTAAAACTCTAAGACAGGCCATTAGAGATGGGTTGATTGATATCAAGAAGAAAGCCATGTTTGACCCCATGACAGGAAAAGCTAAAACATTGACCATTATTTTTGACCAAGGCACAATAATATTTTTGAGAGAACCAAAAACATTTGACCAAGCAATAGATAATAATTTACTACATTTGACTTCTGGTCAGTTCAAGGATCCAGAGTCCAAGGAAAGTATGCCGCTTCAAAGTGCTTTAAAACAAGGACTTTTAGATCCAGACTCAGCAGTTATCAAGGATACTAAGAAAAAGAGACTTTTGAAAGTTTTACCTGCCTTTGAAGAAGGAATTTTGGATCCTGACAAGAGTACTGTCTTAAACACTTGTAACAATCAGATCTTGACAATTGGTGGAGCTCTTGAAGCAAACTTGATTATCACTCCAAGAAGACCTTTATCTTTGTTGGAAGCTTTGGAATATGGAGCTTATGATTCAGCTAGTGGTTCTTTCAGAGATCCATTTACTCACCATCTCTTAACCATGATTCAAGCTATTGAGGCTGGATTAATTGATCCCACTGACACTGTAATAAGAGACCCTAAAACTGGCCGAATCTTGACCATCCAGCAAGCTGTTGATGAAAATCTGCTCAATGCCCAAGAAGGTGTCCTTTTCAATCCACAGAACCAGAAGTACATCAGTCTTATGGAGGCATGGACAGGTGGATTATTCATCACTGCAGAAACTCGGGTAAGACTTGAAATATCCCCAGCATCATCTTGTGTTGGAAGCTGCATAAGTTTGCTCTAGGGCTTTCTGGGAAGCTGTTTATGTATAGGCTGTGACTGTCAAATCCAAGTGAAGGCCTTTTATTTAACATGCAAGAAATATGTACTGACTCTGCTGCCTTGAAGCTCCTTTATTGCTAATCTTAACAGTTCAAGCTTTGGTATCAAGAAATATTGTATTAACAGCTTATAACATAATGTATTTTGTCTAGCTTGCTAGTTACAGACATACTTGTGCATTTATAACTTTTAGTCATTTTCAAGTAGTAAAGACAAAGTTTTTGCATGACATTATCACCCAAGTTATTAACTATAAAACTGGATGAACATCCATTACTGAAGGACAATTACCACATTTAACACTGACTACTACAAACTAATACTACTGCATGGGCTTGACACAATAACTGGCTTTCTTCCTAATAATCCTGGAAATAGATTGCTTATAGTTCTGCTTTGCTTTTTTTGCATTAACATCTTATCATAATTTGTATGTATTAAATGTTAATGAAAATTAACTAATATAATGTGTACTACTATTTGTATTGAAAAAAACATTTTTTTTAAGGTAATAATCTCTTAGCCTGCTTTTGATAGATTTCATTCATATTTTATGACATTAGTTGTGTTTTATAACCTTAAAAGATGATGCTTGAACACAATTACTAACTAATTCAAATTTCTTTGTGGGAAAAAAAGACTGCTGTTGAGGAGAAGTATAAGTTATCAGGAGACAACATCTTGAAGTTATTAAGGTGGATTGAAGAAGTTGAAGGACGACTGGCTGACCTGGACCAGGTGCATGAGAACATTACAGAATTACAGAAGCAAATTGCTAGAGCTAGGGTATGTTGTTGATTAACAATTGATAATCCATACAGAATAGTGTTTAGTCTTTTTCTGAAGACAAACAATGAAAAGTAATATAACAGTTTGTTATAATTCATTAAAACTTGTCATTTATGATATGACACCCTAACAATCAAACTAATTAAGTTGTTTTGTTTCATTACAGGACATTAAAGATGACCTTGATGATCATCAGAGACCTGTAGCAACATGTTTGGACAAGGTTCGTCAGATTGTTCAACAAGGAGCTGACGTTTTAAGCAAAGAAGAAATTGAACAGCTACAGAAAGATTCTAATGAGCTAAAGAAGCGTTATGATAAGGTCTGTGAAGAGAGTGAGAAGCTACTACGCCGACTCTCTTCTTCACAAGAGGAGCTGGAGAAATTTAATGTAAGTTTATGTCCCATATCCTATTCTTAAGAGAAACTTACGAAATGTTATTCAAACTTCCATCCTCATCTGACAAGAACTAAAGATATTTAATGTAAGATTTTTCTTTTCCATTGTTTTATGATGAATACTAATTTTTTATGCACTTTCTAAGCATAACAAGTTATTGATATTTTATTATCCACAGTGAAAGTTAATTCCATTTTTAGTATTGTGTATGGTTGAAAAGATTTTGTTTTTAAGTTGCTAAGTACTTGTTTTTTTCCTTCTTCTTACTTAATAGTAAATTATTTAGCCACTACCATTGTTTGTTTGTCCTCTTTTTATTCTAATATTGAAATCAGTGTGCTCATTATTTTGAATAAATTATGCTACTCAGTCTTTCATTATTTCATTGCAAAAATACACTTTGTATATATAGATTTAATGATATAATTTCCTTATAATGCATTGTGTTGTATTCTTGATTAAGTTTTTTACTTTTTATTGAGCTCAGCATAACACTTCTGTTTTTTGTTGTTGTTTAAGTTGCTCTGCATTAAGACATTTATTGTGTTGAATGATTGACTGTGAGAGGTAGAACTTTTGTAAATTTGATTTTGTTGTTTACTTTTTAATGTATTCAGCATAATATTTTGGGATTATTTTTTAAAAGTTATATCAACTTCTGTGTGTTAAGACATTTATTAAGTTGGATGATTGATTGTTCCAGGTGGAACTCCAAACATTCAAAAAATGGTTGATTGAAGCTGAACATAAGCTGAATGAACAAGAGAAGAACTTAGGCGATGTGAAGAACTTGAAAGAAAACAGTGAAACATTCAAAGTAAGTGATAATATTTTTCAAAGTTAAATAATAGAAGGATTGAGATATGTTACTTAATACAAGAAAAAATATGTGAATAATGTTTACTCTTTTGCCTTATCAACAGGTTTTCATGAATGATGTGATTGCTCATCAAGCTGATCTTCGTTTCATCACCATGATTGCCCAGAAATTTATTGATGAATCAAAGGTAGGAATGTGCTCATTTCTGTCACATTATGTAACTTCATTTGAAAACACATGTATAAATTCAATACTTAAATTGTAAATATGCTTAAAGTTTTCAGGTGATGACTAAATTGTTATGTACTCAGTTTATAACCAGTATAGTAAAGAGTTTTATGATCTGAGGATTGCCTGTTATCTTATTTTACCATATTTTTTTTCAGGATTACTTAAAGATTCTGAACAACTTTAGAACCAATCTTCCTCGTCGACGAGCACATGTTGAGCCAAAGGAGAGTGAAGTAAAGACTGAAGTTAGTGGGGTCAGCACAACATACCACAACCTCCTCAACAGAGTAAACCGACTCAGTGAAAAGTTTTCAGGGGTGATTGAAAAGCAGCGTTACTATGTAGAATGCTTGGAGAAGGCTACTGTGTGGCTCCAGGATGTGCAAAAGTCTTCCAGTAAACTGTTGGGTGAACCCATTGCAGCAGAGCCACGAGCAATCCAGGACCAGTTGAATAGAATAAAAACAATCAGCCTGGATATTGTTGGTCAAAGTCGACTTATTGAGAATACAAAACAGTCTGGAAAGTTTTTTATAGAATTCCTAGAGGGAACAGAAGTCAGCATTATTGAAATACAGGTCATTGAAGAGACTCTTCAAACACTGGAAGATGACTATTATACTCTAAGTAATGAAATAAGTGAAAAATGCAATGAGCTTCAGACAGCCTTGGTCCAATCCCAGGATATCCAGGATGGCCTGGACCGTCTTCTTAAGTGGCTAGATGAAACTGAGAATACTTTCCGTACTCAGAACAAAGCCATCAGCCTAATCCGAGAGAGACTGGATGAACAGGTTTGTAACTGTCTTATCTAACTGGAGTTTGTAATTTGCACATTTGTTTAAACCCTAAGTTCAAAATTCTGTAGAAAGCACAGTTGTATCAATCCTGTCATATTTTTATATAGGCATGTAAAGAGAAGAAAATGCTGAACCTTTTCCTGTTTCTAATTCTTAAAGTATCCAATATCCTTCCACTACAGTGAGTTTCTGGTTTAATGAGTTCAACCAGTATATTCTGTTCTAAATTGTAAATTAAAGAAGTCAATGTATAATTTAATAAATGGGTTTTCTTTCAGATTAGAGAACACAAGGTTCTTCAGACTGACATAGATAGCCAGAAGCCAAGCATCAGTGCTGTTACAGACTTGGCCAAAGATCTCACTGACAGTTCCAACCAGAGGCTCGCTAAGAAGGTTGAGAGTAAAGTGAAAGACATAAATACTCGTTTTGACAAGCTCTGTGAGAAGTCTCGAAAGCGAGGAGAGTTGTTGGATGAGGCAAGATAGTTTTTCTTGACCTATTGGTTTATATTTTTACACATTGGATAGCTTGGATATATTTAACCCTATCACAACAAGTGTGTACTTTTAAGGTGTAAAGTACACACCTGCATAACAAATTTAAGTAAAAAATATAATTCTGATCCTATGTCAATGATTTTCAATGTAAATATGTTTAAATTGATATTTTCTCATTATATGGCATTTATTTTGTGTAATTCAAAATGAAATGTTCTTACTTTTATTTTGGTTCAGCCTCCAAGGAATCTTGTTTGTAAATAATTCAGTTATTGATTTTTTTTTTGTTAGGTTTTTTTCAGCACTTCCCAAAGCATAGACTTGTATTTGCTAAGAAACTCTCATCCGTTGAACATATTATAATTTATGTCGTATTATTTATGCTACTTTCCTTCCCTATCACTAATTTTATTACTCCAGCCCTTCATTGGCACCCTTTAATGATGTTACAGCATGTGGTCTGATCAATTATTAATGAATCTCAGCTTTGAAAATTGCTAAAAATAATTGTATAGAAGAGATTTTAATTTGTCTACATCAATATTGAGTGGTTTTAGTAGTAATTTGTAGTTTTGCTGACATATTGGCTACCCAGAACTCCTGTGTGGATTAATGAAGGATTATAATGACAAGTTTATGATACTTAGGAACAAAATCAAGATCTGGGAATTTTTTCAGTTTGTTTTGATACTATTTTCATTCCTGAAAAATTTTCCATGTTAAATTACATTTGTTTGAAAGCTACAAGAATTTTCTTCTTTAAAAATACATCATTAAAGTTTAATAAGAACACAAAGTTTGGAGAAGTATTTGGGTGATTGAAATCCTTTTTATTATTTTTAAATGTATCATATTCAAACAACACATACAAATATAATAACTTATTATTTATTCAAAAGAATGTACATTTGTTGTGTATAAATTGATTTCATCCAAGAACATTGTTGATATAAAAATTGATATCTAGCCAAAGATATGGTGATGCCATTTTGAAAGGTGAGGTTCTGTGTCACCAGTAAATCTTTCTCTTGTGTTTTTTATTTATTTATAGCCAAAAGTAGTGACTATTTGAATTGGCAAAACAAAGTGTCTAATGAATTATGTACCTGAATATCAAGCAAGTTGAAACTCTGTATATAAAATGGAACTTTTTAATGAATAACTAAAATGATTTAAGAGGAAAGGAAACATTTAATGGTTTTTTTTCAAAATAGTATCCAACAAGATTTTGAAAATTTCATGACCTAAAACAATTATAAAAATACTAAATTACATTATATGAATTATCCTAAACAGAAAATAGGTACTAGTTAAAAAGTTTATACATCTCTTAGAAATTAGGTATGGCTGTTTCAAAAATATCCCTGCTAATTTCTAAACTCATACCAGGGTGAAGTTAACCATAAGACTATAAGAAGAAAAACAAATCAAGATATCAGTGTCACCCCTTTGGTCTGAAAAGGGTTCATATGAACCAAAAAAGCTTAAAACAGTTATTGGTCTTTTTTTTTCTATTCTATATATAAACCACATCAGTTGGTAGGTTTAATTCAGATACTGAAATTTTAATTTTTGCTCTTCAGTCTCACATAACCTTTCCACAACAGGGGAACCCTTTTAATCCTTTTTCCACAATGAGTTACATTTAAAATTTGATTAAACAATTTTACTATCAATGTATATCAAGGAAATTAACATTATATAGTATGTTATAATTTGAAGTTTTATTTTATTTAAGTTTTAATCCTTATATTTCAAAAGAAACCTTTAAAAAAATACTTAATCTCCAGTTTTCTTGTTGCGTGACCCCCGAGTTATAAAAGATGTCAGTTTTAGCAACCTCTGTATTGAATGTAATAAATCACAGCCTGTGCATTTATGTCTAGACAATAAGTACGTTTTCTTGTCCTATTGACACTTATAATTCAAACTTCTTTTGTTGAATCCAGTAGAAACAAGTAATAAATTTTGCCAATCCGTGACAGGCGCCATGCCCACCATCTGTACTTTGCCTTTAGGTTTACAAGTCGCTTGTATTTACTACATATGTGTATATAATCATTAGAAAGTGCTCATTTTACACTATTATCTAACAAAGGTTATTTTGAAATTTGCACCAGTTGTTGTAACTGCTCGTAGTATTGTTGGCTGCTTTGTTCACAATAGCACTTGGTTGTTTCTTACCTAAACATGTTCTAGCTAGAGAGACAGTTAAATTGCACTTTAGGTTTAGATTTTATATCTTAGTTAATTGTGTATAATTTATATTTTAAAATGCATAATTGAAAGGTTTAAACATTTTGTAAAGTTATCTCAATCATTGCCCCCATTTTTAAGGCTTAGTATCTTGTGCAAATATAAGATGATTTTGCTAAAGACTTTCACATTTCCCCTGAAGATACTGTAATACACTCGGAGGGTGTCGTTAAAATATTATAATTAAACTATAATTGAAAACATAAAGACGTGAAATTACGCATGTGACCCAAATAAGATATTTTTAGATTATTCAATATATAGTTAAAAGATATGTATTTATTTCTATTTCTTAATTTCAAACATTTCATTGCACTATACATTGATGATAATATGATAATGTATAGATAATATGATAATAGACAGAGTTACTGATATGATTGAGAAAATGGAAAATAAAATATAAACATTTACTTTAAAAAATAAGTTGATATTCATTTAGGAGGTCCTAGAGGTTATGCAAGTGAAATTTGAAAACTGTAAGATGAAGAAAAGTATTTTTATGTTTAAAATGAAAACTGCCTTGCACTCAAACTATTCAGAATTTGAGTGCAAATAACTATGATAGATAAATAAAATATTTTTAGTAGAAAGACTTATTTAAAATAATGTTATTCTTTGTGTAGAAGATACTTATAATATTTCACAAAATCTTGCTAGTCTTTATGAGAATATGTAAAGAAAGCTGAGAATTATCATATGTATTGTTGCACATGTATCCTTGGACATAATTTGTATCCATCTGTTGTGAAAGGGTTAAAAGAACTACTAATATTTACTTATAATGTACCATAGTATTAAAAATACTTTAATATTCTTTAGGTTGTAGCCATGGTAAAAACATTTGAGGTGATGATTGTTCGCTTTGAAGAATGGATCCAAGTGATCACAGAGACTGTTGAGAGCAGAGAAATAATCCAGCTTAGTACTGAGGAGTATTTTTATCGAATTGAAGAAGTCATGAACCAGAGAACTGCCAAGAAAGAGGATTTTGATGAGATAGTAAAAACTGGTAAAAACCTAGTCTCTAAAAGAGATGTGACAGATACTACACCAACAAAAGATAAGGTGAAGTCTTTGGAACAACAATGGAAGGATCTTGGGGACCATCTGACTGAAAAACAGAGAGCAGGCAAGACTCGTGCCCAACAACAATCTGCTTATGAAACTTTGAGGGCCAAGGTATTGGAGTGGTTGGGAAATATAGAAAATCGTGTGGAGGAGTTGGATGTTGTAGCAATAGACCAGGATGTTCTTCAGAAACAAGCTGCAGAAACCAAGGTGAGTATCACGGTGTTGTAATAAGGGATAAATTTTGAAATAGTTTTGATATATCTAATCTATAAACACACTTGTTTTAAAGAAATTAAGGTAACAGTTCTATTTCATAAATTATTGCTTGCTCTAATATTTAATAAACTATTTTCTCAATCACGTGGTTTGACGAAAGTATATCTTAATCAAACCAAAGTAAGGCAAGAAAGTAAACATGTGACATACAAAAAGAAAATGCATAAACTGTTTTGTATTTTTGAACTCAAACAACCAAACTATTTCTCATGTACTCCTTTTTACCTGAAATTTTACCTCTTTTCTTGCAATATTTACTTTGATGTACTCCTTATCACCTTAAGGTTTACCTTTTTTGTAACTGAATTTCATCTGATGTACTCCCTATCTCCTGAAGATTTACCCTTTTTGTAACTGAATTTTCTCTGACATACTCCTTATGACTTGCATTTTTGTAGCAGAATTTTCTGTAACACACATTTTCCATTCTTTGTCATAAAGATAATGCAAACACCATAATGAATGTCCTAATATAAATCATATGACTATTTTTCTGATAACATATGTTTGAATACTGTGGCTTTTCAGTCACCCTACTTATCATATGACTGTTTATTAAAATAGTAAATTATGAAAATGCTTATCTTAATTAAAACAGAAAGTTAATATTTTGTTTTTATTTTCAATTTAGTAATAAGTAATATTAGTAATAAGTTTAATGTATACATAAAATACTGTTAGGCTTAAATATTTTTGATGAAAAATTTCACCGTGGATTGTAAAAGTTCTGTATGTGGGTTTAATGAACTTGTAGATTAGGTTGGAGATCCTTGTTTTAAACTTAAACTTTTTAATGATATTCTGCTAGCATCTCATTAAGGAACACACAGACTATGCACCAACTGTTGATAAGGTCAATGACCTAGGTAATTCGTATGATGCCATACTCCATGGTGAGCGAGGAGACAGTCCCCGTCGGCGAGCAGGTAGCCCCACAAAGAAGGTTGCCTCATCTCCATCTGTTGCTCCTTCCAGTCCGACAAAGAAATCACCACCTAGTGAGTACACAGGTAGTATCAGGCTTTTGGTGGCAGTGCTTTAAACCTACACTTTTTCTGCTGTTTTAGTCTTGTATATACTGTAATGCTAAGTCAGAAACTAGTAGCATCGTATAATGACTCATGAAGAATAATTTATCTTTAGAAGAACAAAGTTTTTTTTTTGTTGTGGTTGTAAAGTCATGTCACTGGTAGCTGTAAGCCAGTGTTATTAATACTGTTGGCTTGAGAAGTAATTAATTTATTAAAGAATTGATTAGTTGTTGTAAAGAATGCAGTAAGACGTTGGATTCATACTTTCAAATAATTAGTTGTAATGTTAAAATTTGACCTGAAACATTATTATTGAATGTACCAATTACTTATAAATAATTATAGATATATTGTGAACTAAAATTTTGTAGTTGCTTTAACTAAGCATTGCTTTGCTTTGTGTACAATACTAAACAGCATTTAATCAAAAGTAGTTATAATACTAACATGGTAATAGTAATATTTTGGTAAATGTTTAGTTAACTAAAAGTTAGCAGTTAAATGCTCATTATCACTTTTTGATTCATTTTCAGAAACCCGACGTTCTCCTGATGTTCAGTCTCCAACGCAGGCTAAGTTCATCCAGAGTCCTTTGTCTACTGTATCAAGTGGATTCAGCAGTCAGCGTAGCTCAGCTGATAACCTGAGAGGAGTAGAAGGTAAGCAGTTATTTTTAACTTTAAATTTGTATAATTTAAACGATTTGCAATTCAATTTTTTAAAGTATTTTCAGTGGAGAGTTGTTTGCTTTTCAGAAGTTTCTTTACTACTTGTGAATGTGTAAATATATTTGTTTTGCCTTTAACCCTAATTCAGGAAACACTTTGTTCTGTTTTTTCTTCTTATTCTCAAATTCAGTACAGTAGTAGCTGATATAATATTGTTTTATGTTGTTTATGCACTCACTCCTCATTTTCATCTAGCAGCAGCTTTAAAACAGCTATTCAGATCTGATTACAGTTTTAAAAACAGTTGTATCAATCCTATTATTTTCATAGTCCATAAACTGATTACCAGTTTACAGAAACTGCTAAATTATTTATATTGATTATTTAATCTCTCCAGATCTGTCTCCTGTTCAGCAACAATTGTCAGAAATAAACAACCGATATAGCTTGTTGGGAGTGAAGCTGTCTGACCGTCACCAAGAGATTGAAACTTTGACAGAAGAAGTGAAGCGGCATTTAGAAACAATAAGGATTCTCCTAACTTTTGTTAAAGCAAAGGAGAAGCAGTTACCTCAAGAGGCTCTTCCTGAAAACAAAGAGCAAGCTGGAAAACAACTACTGCTGCTAAAGGTTATAGTGGCTCTTATTTATTTCTTTGTAGAGTAAAAAGGTATATAATATTTTCAAAAATATTTCTTCCACAGCAATAGAAATATAGAGTACAGTTTAGTGATATGTTCTGTAGTGGAACTGAATGCAACTTTTTGTTTTGGTACTGTTCTAGACAATCCAGGAAGAAGTTCAGGAAAAGCAACCAGACATGGACAGAGTGAAAACACAGGCTCAGGATCTTCTCAGGAAAAAACCAAATGTACTTGGATCAGACAATCTTAGAAACCAAATCAATGAACTAGGTGAGCCTTTATCAGTTTTTCTTTTAAATGTTTAAATTGTTCCACTTACTTGATTTTTAGGTATCCTTCTTCACAGTTTCTTTTCTTGTGTTGCTGAAGAACTAATATTTGAAATGTGCTGATGAACTAATTTTTAAAACTCTTTAAGGAAATAATATTTAAAACATGCTGATGATCTAGTGTTCAACAGTTTCCAGCTTGATGTTAATATATTGTCATATCAGTATCTTCACCTATTAAACATTTGTATCTTATAAACATCACCATGTCTGAAACATATTTTGAACCATAAAATATGATAACAATTAAATGTTTTCAAATCTTAATTTGTTGCATAGTGAATTTCATTTCCATGAGTATGTAATATACCCATAATAAGTTGATCTGATTTACAGGCTTCGCACATGTTTGTTTTATAATAACATGATCTTTCACTCAAAATTAATCAGTAATTCTATTTTAGTTTATATGCAGAATTTTAGCCAATTTTTATATCTTTGCACAATTATGTTTGTTTTTACTTTTTTCAATCCATCAAACATTTTTTCAACAGCAACAACTAGTCACAGGACTAATGGCATCATAGTTTGTTGAAATAAGTTTTGTAATAAAATATCTTGTATATTGTTAAAAGAATTATAAATAGATAGTATTGACCTTCTTTATCTTATTTTAATATGTAGTTTACTTCAGTACTTCTTTTAGATGTTATGTACATCTGTTTCAAACAGTTAAGATCTGAGCTCTAAGATCTAAGATTTCTAAAACCTAAGATCATGTCATGGCAGAATTAATCTTAAAACACTGTTAGTTTCAAATAACCAGCAGAAATTTAAGTAAAGCAAAAAAGAAGCTGCTAAAGTAATTACTTAACAAAATATACAAGCAGATAGAATTTTTTAAAACTTTAATGCCAAGCCGGAAAAGGTTAAAACATGCTGATGATCCTTTATTCAAAACATATTAATTAACTAGTATTTAAAACCAGCTGAGAAAGTACTAAATTAAACTAGAATTAGATAGTCCTAAGATCATAAATTATATCAAAGTTTCTTTAGGTCATCTACTTGTTACCGAGAGAGATATTCATTGATCTTGTTATACTTATTTGTACATGGGAGATGTAGAGTTAACTTTTTAATGTTCATTCTTCTAGTTTCCTGCTGGACAGAACTAATACAAGTCACCAAACAACAACTAGACTTGCTTCAGGGATTTAAAGATTTCCAGGATACTCATGACATAGTGACTAATTGGCTGACTCAGAAAGACAAGATGTTGCAGGTGCTAGGGCCAATTGCTTCTGAACCACGTATGGTTACCTCTCAGATGCAACAGGTTCAGGTATTGTCAGGTTACTTGCTGTTTTTGCTAATCGTGTGGTTCATAATTTCATTGACAAGGATTAATTAACATTTTAAAAACTACAATGAAATTTATGTTGTATTAGTAAGTGCAGATATAGAATTATGATTAACTATCAGTTCTTAATGAATTTCAGTATAAACCATTAACTATGGTATATCATAATAGTTATTTTTTGTACATTAATTGTTTTTATAGAAACACTGCTTGTGTGTTTTTCTGATTGTTTTTTTTATATGCACAATCAGGTTATGAGAGAAGAATTCAGGTCTCAACAGCCTCTCCTGGATCGTTTGGATAGCTCAGGCCAAGCAATTATTGATAGCCTTGGTCCAGCCTCTCCAGCCAGTACTAAAGTTCAGGACCAAATGGACACCATCCACCGGACTTGGGATGATTTACTTAGACAGCTTGCTGATCGTGAGAAGAGTTTAGATGCTGCATGTGGTGTCACTAAAGAATTTCATGATACTCTGAACAGATTGCAGGTCTGTCTGCAAGAGATTGGTGACAACTTTGATCAGCTATCTGAAAGTTCTTTTGACATTGTACAGCAGCTGAACACACTGAATGTAAGAGTTTAATTTACCTTATTTAGAGCAGTTCCTAAATGTATATGTTTTATTCTTTGAAAAAAAATTTTAGGCAGAGTATTCATGATGAGTGAACTGGAATGGATGGCATCTGCCTGTTTACTCATTTTATAGGTTTTAGTGTATGTTTTTTTCTAACACAAACAATAATAATTTTCACAATGTCTGAGCATCTTTGAGCATTATCAGAAGTGATTAACTTTTCTGTGTATTTTGTCTGAGTAATAGAACATGATAATCACATTGTGTAAGATAAAGTAAGACCAGAAAATTTTACAGTAAAAAACAAAACATTATAACTCAATTAAAATTATATTTGTGTAAAGAAACTTTTGCACAATTGAATGTATTTCTATTTACTAATGCAGTAATATAAGAACTGGTGTTCAGAACTTTTTGAGTCAAATACATAATACATTTTAATGAAGTGACAATTCTATTTTGATAGGACTTGGAGGGACAGCTAGAAAGTCAACGACCTCATCTTGCAGGAGCTGAAAGTGTATGTGAAGAGTTGTGTGAAATTCTGAGTGATTCAACCTCCAAGACAGAGATAAAAACCAAGCTTATCACATTTCAGAAACAGTTTATCAATCTCACCAAGAAGATAGGTCAGTGATGTTATTCTTGACCTGAAAATGGGTTTGGTACTTACATTGTAAACAAAAAAGATGTGGCTGCCCTGCATTCTATGTTGAAGAAAAATTCTACTAATTAAGTGTTTGGTTTTAAAGTTTTAGTTAAAGGGGAAAAAAGCATAAAATGCTTGTAATTCTACCAAATTTTTATGCAGGATGTATTCATATTCAACTAAAAAATGCATTATTATTTTACCAGAATAACATTTTAAAGTAGCAAAGGTTTATTTTGTGTTTGAATGTCATTGAAATGGACAAGCTGTCTACTTTAACTGGTGAAGGTTTGATTCATATATGTACATCTTGTTAGGTACATATATGTGCATCTTGTCACAGAAAACCTGTATGCTGGGTTTTATAAGCATCTGATACTTCAGTGTTTGTATCTGTAGATTGAAAAATTGGTTCTCCTATTTGGATCTGTAAATTACTGAAATAGGATACTTTTGTGTTCTGATTGTAGATGGCTTAAAATATTTTTGTTTTCCATGTTTGTAGATTATAAAATTTTGAGAACTTTTGCTTAGGTTAGGAATAAATATACACAATTCTATTTTATGTCTTTAGAATATAAAGCTAAAAAAGTTTATTTGTTATTGTTTTTAAATTGTCTGTCTGGTGTAGGGAAAGTTCTTATCTGTTGTTTGTTTTGCAGACAACAGAAAGGCTGAGCTTGAGTCATCTCAGAAAGAAGATCAGGAGTTCTATCTCTCCTGTGAAAACATCAAGATCTGGTTGGATAAGATGCAGGACTGTTTGTCCAAAACCTTGAACATTTCTGCTGACCATGACACCTTGACCGAACAAGTGAAAGATTTTCAGGTAAGGTGCAACACACTAAAATAAATGCAGTATGTTTGTAATAACAGATAAATATGGTTTTATTTCATTTCATAGCATAATGTTCTACTGAAATTTATTTTCAGCTGTCTACATATCTGGACGTTATTTACTCTAGCATTGAAATTCAGCCTTTTTACTTTAAAGTAATATTTTTACTTCATGGATTTAAAAGCTAAGTATTTTGCCTAAAACATGTAATATTTATTCAGGTTTTTATCATGACATTTCCATGAACTTACATTAAGACTCTGCAGTTGTGTATAACAAAGTTGAATTTTTCAAAATTTTTAAAATCTCTGATATTTCCCTTACGTAGCCATTATACAGAGATGTTTTAGATAAAGAACATGAAGTCCACATTTTGCTAAGTAAGGGAAGTGATGTGGTTAACAAAATAACCAATAAAACAGAAGCTCTTCAGCTAAAGAACAAACTGGATACCATCAAAATACAGTGGGATTCAATCCGTAAAGATGCTCATGATAGGTAACTCATTTCCACTTTTTATTTATGAACCATATATATGAGTAGCATTTTTTATTTGCTCTTAAAAGTAATTTTTGACTTAAAAAAATTAAAGAAGAAGGAAACATGATTAAAACTCTAATTTTGTATCTACAAAAGACATAAAAATAGCTTATAATTTTATATTATATATTTTTGATATTCGTATACAGATTTAAATCATTTGATAGATGTTACAAGTTTGAATGTAAAATTGGTTTCAACAAGCAATTTGTATTATAATTCATTTTAGTTGCCTGCTTTTGAGAAACTTGTTAGAGTTGAAGACAGTGACAAAAAAAAATAAATTAGGCTTTTGACATCTTTTTGAGTAGTGTGTTTTGGTTTTAGGCAAAACCGGTTACAGAGATGTGCTGATACCAGCCGCCGGTTTCACTCAGCACTTGCTGAGTTTATACCTTGGTTAGAAGAGTGTGAAAAGAAACTGGACTCACTTAAACCAATTTGTTTCCAGAGAACAGAACTTGATAAGCAAGTCAAAGATATTCAGGTACTTTAGATAAAATTTGTTACTGGTCTTTCTTCATTTTTTAGTGTAGGTTGTTATCCAAAGATGCCACTTTTAACATTTTGAATGTCTTATAAATTTTTTAATGTATGAATAAATCATCACATATGAAAGTGGCACAAAAACTTTATTTGTATGTAGGTGACTGTTATTATTTATGTTAAAGTTTTTATAGTAGTAAAGTTCAATTTTGTTAAATTGGTTCCAGTTAAAACATTATTTTAATTGAGAATTTATATGAATGGAAGCTACAAAGGAGAAGTTAAAATGAAAAAAATAAAGAATGAAATTCTAGTATGATAAAACTCTTACCAGAAACTCTAAAAACAATGTTACCTTTACAGACATTTAAGAATGAATTGTCACGTCACAGCCAAGAATTTGACAACATTTGTAGCTTTGGTGAGGTCTTACTAGATCAAACAGATGTGGACCAACAAGATGTGCAGCAGAAGTTAAATGAACTGAAAGAACGCTGGGATAGATTGAATCAAGGTATCTTGATGTTAGTTGATTCAGTATGCTAAAGCACAATCAGTAGTTTCTACTGGTGGAATCATATGCCATGGTTGTGTAATATAAATTCAGTCAGTCGCTTTGAAAATTAACATAAGTTATGTTAAGTGTAAAAACATTCTAATAAAGCAGTTTTTTTCAAAGTAATAAATTAGATAAGACATTTTTGATATAAGTGTTAAATAAAAAGTAATAAGTATTTATGTTAATATGATCATCAGAGAATATCATTTAACAATATAAATTCTTGACAGTAAATGTTATTAATGTATAGTAATGGTTAGAAAGTTACTCATGTTCATATTGTTTATCTTTATTTCAGGTGTATTGGAACGAGCTCAAGCTATGGATAATGTTTCTCGATTGTTGATCACATATCATGACACTACCCGAGATGTACAACATACTTTACAACGACTTGAAGATAAGATGACATCATTTGATGGTCTCAGTGATGTTGTATTGTTAGACAGGTTAAAGGTATAACATATATATATATAGAATGAAGGATGATGTATTTTAGAAAATGTTGATGGTGTATAAATTTATTTTATTTTTTAAATATATTACACGTTCTTTCCTTTGAAGTTATTCATTATTTCTTTCACTAAAATTAAAAAGACCTGTAATGTTAAACAAAAAAAAGGAATTATGTCACTAAAGACAGATGACTAAAGCTTATGTAGTACTTTTATTAGCTTAATGGTTTAGTGACTTAATTTTTAGAAATATGTAGTTTTAGTAGAATAAAAACATGTTTCAGTGTTCATTAAATCATTTATTTAGAAAATATAATTGTTGTACTTGAATATATCATTTACTGTTGAAGCACAAGAATTACAGTTTTAAGATATTTTTTCATATTATTAAAATTAATTGAACTGTCTATATTGGGAAGGTACTCCTAGAAGAAGCAAATGACCTTTACCATCAGTTAGATCAAGTTCGAGATTCTGCTGATCAGTTGTTATCTAATGCTGGTCCAGACTCTGACATTGATCACATATCTGAGGAAGTTACCACATTGGAGAATCGTCACAAGCATCTGATTAAGACTCTCGAAAATCGATGTGCTCAACTGGAGTTTGCTACAAATGTTCTTTTAGATTTTACGGTTAGTCAATGAAACTGTTTAACTCCTTTTTTTCTTAAATCTGCTAGTGATGGTGTAGAAACAAACAAACTAATGACTATATATTTATTTTGAATGTTATAGATTACTTTATGTTTTTAATGAGATAGATCATCATGGGATAGACACAAGTATAGTCGACACAAAAACAAAGGTGGAAAAACAACTGAAATTGTAATGTCAGTGATTTCTTAATTAAAACAAACATGAAAATTCCATTTGTAGAAGCTTTAAAGAAACTTAATGTTATATTTGAATTTACTCTAAGTACTAAGGGGTATGTGTGCTTTATGCTTACTTGTATTTTTGGCTATCAGTGTATTTATACCAACTAGTGAATAAATCATATATGTATGTTTACTAAGGGGGATTGAGATATATTGTATATCCACTATTTGGGGAATCAGTCTTATGCATATCTACCAAAGTGAATCAGTTACCTGTTGATCTACTAAAAGTGAACCATTCTTCTGTATGCCAACTAAGTTGACCTGGTCATCTTTATGTCTCGAAACTGGTGACTTGGTCATCTGTTACTCAGTAAGATAAGCCAATATTGTATATGTTTACTTAGGTGAACTAAATATTTTTTTGTCACTAATGTGAGATATTTTTCATTCCAAATAGAATAAAGAGAAGAAGGTTCAGCAGGACCTGAGGTCTTTAGAAGAAGAATTAGATAACATGGCTCCTGTTGCTCGAGTCATCACAGTTGTGCAGACTCAAATTGTGGAAATTAAGGTGAAAAACACTTACTAATTACTGTTCTCAATAAGTGTAAAACTTGATAATAGTTAATTATCAGCTATCAGAGAAAGCTCTTCAAAGATTTCATCTAACACAGTACGAACAGAATTTCTTGATGATGAGAATATATTTGGTATTGTACCAGTTTTTAAGATGTTTAGTTATAAGTAGAATATGTTATCATTAAGTTTCAAAAATGTTTCATAATGTTTATAACTTGTTTACAATATTTTCATGAGTATGATAACCTGGCTTAGCAGGAAACTATACATTAAGGTTGGTTTTTTCTTATTACATTATAAATAATAATAGATAATATGTTTGGTTTATGTGAACTATGCTAATTCTAAGAAAGAAAAGAAAAGCATTATTAAAGAAATAACTTCATATAAGCTAGAAAACGTCCTCTCAAGCACAAATGATAATGTTAGTTACTGACAGAAAAGTACTTTAGCATATTTATACGTTATTCTTATGGCCAGTATGTAATATCAGTTATGCATTTCAGGACTATATGGGTCTCTTGGAAAAGGTGAATGATGATATTGAAGATGTATGCCAGCAGGGAGAAAACGTAATTCGCCAGGGCTATGCTACAGACGTAACAGCTTGTAGAGAAAAAGTAAGGGCTGTTGTAGTTATGAAGTGGTTATTGAGTCAGTGCTGTAAATTTAAAAAAACTACTTTAATAGAGAGAGAAGATGCTATAAAATGAACTATTTACTTATTATTTTACAGAGTTAATTGAATTGTTTTATTAGAAATACTTTTGATTAAAGATTACAACTGTGCTTTAGTTACTATATATATATATTTTATTCACTTAGCTGTAATTATATGCTAGTCAAATATTGAAGAATGTATTTGCTATAGTTTCATAGTATGTTTTGTTCAAAATGTGGTTTAAAGTGATAATGTTTTTATGCTGCTCAAATGTTGAACAAAATGATCCCAGTCTCTTCTCTGTAATAATAACTGAACTGATAATGGTCATAGTATGTGTGGCTGTTCTCAGTACTTCAAGTAATTAATATTTTACCTTCAGCTTCACAACCTGCGTCAACAGTTTTCTCGTATAGAAGAACGAGCCAAGGTACGTTACACCATCTTGGAGAGCAGTCTTGCTCAGTTAGAACGTTTCTATGAAGACTACGGTGATACAATGACTGAACTAGATAAAGCTATCAAAGAAGAAAAGAATTTCAAAATCATAAGTGGGGAAGTTGAAACGATAAGATCGTTGCAGGAAGAATTTAAGGTTAGTGTGGTATTTTTGTAGATATCCATTAAAACAAATGTTTTTAATTGTGCATTATCAGTTGTTTATTTTTTGTAATTTAAAATAGTATTTTATGAATCATGTGTAAAAATATTTTCAAGCATAAAAATGCACTTAAATTTTTCTTATAAAAGAATAAATGAATGAATTAATTCTCAGCATCTTCTTCTGTTAGCTAATCTTACATTACCACATAGTTTAGCATAAAACGTTGTAACGGTACTAGTGATGGTAAATGGTTTATATGTCTTGAACTGTTTGAATTTCTATCACCCTCTTTATATAAAACTTAAAGGTAGTTTCTAGGTCAGCAGTTTGTGTATGAATTTTGATGGTGACACTTTTAATATTTTCTTAGCTGCAGTATTTTATATGAACTTACATGTGTACACTGATAATTCACTACATAGTTCAGAAAGAGAAAAAAACACTATCAAGTTTTTGAAGATGCTGTTTCATACAGAATTCATTCCTAAGACATTGATTGCTTTGCAGATTTTCCGTAGAACCCATATTGAGCCCTTGAGTAAGCAGATAACAGATGTGAACAAGCTGGGTCAAGGTCTAGTTCAGTCAGCTATGCCAGGCGTTGACACTACTAAGCTGGAGCAAGATATGGAGACTCTAAATGAGAAGTGGAACAGTTTGAAAGAGAGGGTACGTACATAACCACCGTTTTATTTTTACAGTGTATTGTCTAATTCATTAAATTTAATAAATGAATGTCATAGAGGCATGCTTTGTGGTAAAAGTTCTTTTAGAATTTATATTGCTGCTTGCATAATTACCAAAATATTTTGTTTAGGTAATGCCATGCAAAGATAATTTACAAACTACACCCTGTACAGTTTCATCAATATCATTGTATATTAAAACACATAATTTCAATTTGATAATGCCTGCCTTAACTCTCTCACTACGGGCTCAGTCCCAGGGACCTACCTCGTAACCATTTTGTGCTTATTATGGTTTTCATACTATAACTTTTAATACAGTAAGCAATCTTCACGAAATTTTACAGATTACCAGTAAACAGTACAAGGCTTTCGTATACAAAATATCACATTTTTATATCAAATTTTAAGATATTTTAAGTAATGATTTGGTCATGCATTTTTTCTTTTCAAATGTTGACTATCCAACATGCAAAGTAATTTTGATTTTAAGATTAAAAATAATTTTATAAATCAGAAAATTTTCAAATTTCACATGTGAAATCTTTATAACTTCCAGATAATTATCAAACTTTTTTTAGAAAAACTTTATATTTTATCTCTCATTTTCACTATTGTATCCCTGTGTGGGTTTGGTCGATTTGATTGATCTCATAACCACCATAAAAATTAGGAAATAGATATAAATTATGCCTTTTTCGTTCCAAAATGACTACATATTAGAGCACAAAAACATAGAATAGATTAAATCTATTAAGTCTATATAGATTAAATCCCATAACATTATACATCTATATATATTTATTATCTTTATTTTATTGGCCTTTCAGCCATGCCTGACTAACATTACAGAAGTAGCAATGATGCTGCGCGTGTGCATTCATGTTACCATATCCAAAAACATAAAACTTACATTTACAAAGTGACCTGTCTTGGCTGCATTCTAGTGCATACAGTCATATTTTGGTTATAATACATTATATATATGTATATACATTATTACTATTTACAAATAACTTCTTAAAGCTTGATTATTTGTCTTAAAACATAGAACAGTAAATATAGAAGTATAGAAAACAACTATCTCTTCTAGTTACGAACTTTGTACTCTTTTGCTGCTTGCCATATGTTGCTAAGCCTTTATCAAATTTTGCATGTGGAGGATATAAAACAAAATAATTTTTTTTAGGTTTTATATTTGCATTTTGAAATAACAAAAAAATGATAAATTACTCTATCAATATTCCAGAATTCCAATGTAATTTATCAAACTTAATTTGTAAGCTGTATTTGGGTCTAAAAAAATGTGATTTTTTTAGCTCACTAATGTCTTACATTACTGCTTGGAATCTAGCATGAAAAGAAAGAGTTTGCTGGGCAAATACTTTGCAGAGGTTGAGAAAATCACTAGGGGGATATTCTGAGCTTTTGATTGGCTTTACACACGTCATTGGGTGAAGTAGGTGTATGTAAGAAAGTATTTTCAAAAATGAAAGAGGTGGCAGGGCCACCTTGATTGATTTAATAAATATATTAAAATCTCAGAAACTAGAAAAGATAGGAGGTTCTTATCTTGTATTCTAGTTTGTCAATATTGGTAATTTGAGGACCTAGTTCATAAGAAACTATAGACTTTGTATTTGGATATCATATTCATCTAATATGAACCAGTGCTGCACTCAACATACCATGTGACACACACAAAAAATCGTTATTTAGTTTTTTTAACATTTAGTTTAAATTAAGAAATTAAATAATGTATAATACTAAAATTTGAATTATAATCTACAGTTTGGTACCAAACTTATTGACATACATTCATAATATAGTAGTTCAATAAAATTTTGAATGCAAGTCTGCATACACGATGACATGGCCTTTGACCCATGATCATAGGAAAACCTCTGTTGGTAGGGTTAAGAGAAAGAAAAAACATTCACTAGTATAAGAAGGCTGAAAATCTTATCATCTTCAATTGTTTACTTATCCTGTAATTCAAAATAATATTTTATGAACCACATGTAAAAAAAAAGAAAATTCAATATGAGAAATGTATCTAAAATTTCTTTTCTACAAAAAATGTATTTATATTTCAAACAATGAATTAATCTTCTTCATCTTCTATCATGAACTAATTCTACATTACCATTCTGCATCACGTAAGTTAGTTATTGTTCATATTCACTCTACTACTTTTATTTTCTGTTGGAAAATAGTTTGCTGTATGAATGATTTGAACTATCAATTCTGTTTAGCTATTATTGAAATTAAAATGTTTAACCAGAATAAAAGGCCAACCTAATCTATTTTTCTGCCTAGTCATTTTTCAGTTGCAGAATTTCATCTTCTTTAAAAGGACTATTGTAAAATGCAATATTGATATTACATGCTTAGCCATAGGTCTAATAAAATTGTTCATCAAGCTTAAGAGAACTACTAATATATATACAACATACCTTTACTCTGTAGCCATTGGGTATTCACCCAACTTTAAATATGATGTTATACTTAACTGCTCATGGACTGAAAAACATTCATCAAATTTTGGAGAGAGCAATGAGTAATCTGTTTATTTATTCAATAGTTGAATGATCGTGAGAGACTACTGGACTTGACATTGCTTCAATCCGGGAAGTTTCAAGAAGCTCTTGAAGGAGTCCAGAAGTGGCTACAAGATACAGAAGAAATGATATCCAATCAGAAAGCTCCTTCAGCAGATTACAAAGTTGTGAAAGCTCAGTTACAAGAACAAAAGGTAATTCATTAATTTGTCTTTTAGGTTATGGAGATTTAGAAAAATGTTAAAGTGGGATAATTATAAGCTTGGTTAGTAATTAAGGTGATCAGGTGATAATGATAAAGCAACTGTAAGAAATTTTTTACATTTTTCATAGTTCTTGAGGAAGTTGCTTCTTGATCGACAAAACAGCATGACTTCACTTAGTGACATGGGAACTGAAATCATGCAGAACCTGGAGCCCACTGAAAGAAAGCAGATCACAGTCCAGCTTAATTATTTGACAGAGAGGTTTAACATTCTTATCACTGAAGCCAGAGAACGCATGGAAGTTCTTGAAAAGACTATCCCAGTTGCCCAAGACTTCCAGGACAAAATAGGCCCACTGTTGGTGTGGCTAGAACGAGTAGAAAAAAGACTTGTTATTATGACAACAATCCCAATTGACCAAGACAAAATCCATGAACGGATAACAGAGCACAAGGTAGGAAGTAACTGGATTTAATATTTGTTAACATGCAGATATTGAATGCAAAGATCTTGAAAAAATAATATGAAAGATTAAAATGTCAAATAAAAAAACAGTAATTCAGGTATAATTTAAAACAATAAGAATGAATAAAATTCAGTAATGGATAAACCATGTTATCTGGAACATAATCACTCAATTTGTAAGATGTTCATTCTTGAAATAAAAATATTGCTTTAATTTCTGCTACATAGTTGCAACAAAACAATGATTTTAATCTAGTTATTATGAAGAGTGATATAATTAATTGTTTTAAACAGGAACTCCATGAAGATATCATCAACCATAAAATCTTGTTTGATGAGCTAAATGATGTTGGTGAAACCCTTGTAACTCTTGTTAGTGAAGAAGAAGCATATACAATCCGTGAAAAGTTCCAGGATACTAATTATCGGTATGTCAAGGTGAAGGAAGATAGTGAAAACATCGGAAGAATGCTGGTCCAGGCTCTGGAAGGTATGGGAACCTTTTTGATTAACTGTGAAAAGCTGTTGAGCTGGTTACAAGAGGTGGATAACAAGCTTTCTCGCTACCAGATTCTTTCTGTGTACGTGGACAAGCTTCAGGAACAGATAGATGAACTAACGGTGAGTAACATTGTATAAAAACGGATATTATCTGTTTTGTATAATTGCAAAACAAACAATTTCTCTAATACAATATACAAAATAACTTTCAAAAGGGATTTTTTATTATGAAAAACCTAGTGTCCTATTAATAAACAGATATATCTACATATACCTGTGTGTATGTAGAGAGAAAAATGATATTATATTATTCATCAGATACTTTTGTGAAACTTCACAATTAAAAGCATTTTATCCCTTGTATTTTTACCTATTGGCAAATTGATGCTTTTACAAGAAATTTCCTTAAGGTTATTAATTTTTAAACATAAAATTATAATACCCAAAAAGGCTTGGTATAATTGTGTTTTGTAAATCTATAGATTGTGAAATTAATGACCAAAAAGGAGATACTTTGCAAATAACATAGATTAATTTTTAATTACCATGTATACATTTGGAAAGTATTTAGATTGATAATGGTTTTCTTTTGATTTTGATATTTTTTTCAGGTGCTCCGTTCAGAGATAGAAAGTCATCATTGGGAAGTGGAAAGCCTAATAACCTCTGCACAGGAAATTATGAAACATGCTTCAGGTGGGATTGTGTTTATTTTCAACTGATTGACTGTTTTTGTTTTCATAGTTTTTCATCTCATTTCTGAAGAATGATGTTTTTGTGGAATATGATATTCTATAATGTTTACTTTTATTTCCATGACACAACTCCTATCTTTATGTTTATTGTGTTATTAAAAACTACAATATATGTTCTCTTATTCTTAATTTGAATGATTCTTATTTTGCATACTAATCCCACAAACAGTTTGAGAAATTATGGTGGTTAACAGTTTGACATTCTGAAATTATTTCTTGGTATAATTGCAGGAGATGATGCTGTTCAAGTGAAAGATAAAGCAGATGCCATACAGAGCAAGTTTAATGAAGTATCCCAGAGGTGCAATGAAAGACAAAAGCAGGCACTAGAAGTCTTGCCACTCACCCAGAACTTTCACAGTTCTCATGAACAGCTAGTTTTCTGGATGGATGAAACTGAAAGAATCTTGAAAACTTTGGAGTCCCTTAGTCTCATCACACAGGAGACCACAATAGCAGTAATAAACCTTTCTAATCAGTAGACTATAGACCTTTAATCAAATATCAAAGAACCATTATAAAATAAGAAATCTTTATGGCCAATGGTTCCTAAAATGCTTAATTATAAGAAAATAACTCAGTATAAAGTACTTTCTGAATAACACATACTAATTTGTTGCACAGTAACTTGGCTTGAAAGCAGATTATCATCTATATTAAAACCTATTCTGAAAATTTTAAGGTTGTAAATTCAGATCCATTTTATAAAAAAGGTAGTTTTTGACATGTTTTTCAATGTGTTAAAACTATTTTAGAAAATAGAAGTATATTTTATGAAAATAATATTTATTCATGAATTTTTTTTTACAGCAATTGGAGAAGGAAATTCATGAGTACCGACCTCTGGTAGAATCGGTTAGTTCGCTGGGACCACGTTTGTGTCAGATCTCACCTGGAGAAGGCTCACATTTGCTAGAGACCCTTGTCACACGTGACAACCGTCGCTATGATGCCATATGTGAACAAGTCCAGCGTAAAGCTGAGAGAATACAGTTATCTAAACAAAAGAATTCAGAGGTATGATTGTCTTCATTTTTAAGATAATTTTTCAAAAAGTTATGTTGTGTTAAAAGTATTTAATTTTATTTAAGTAGTGTTTAAATGTTTGAATCTATAAATGTCTAACATTTCTGCACTAATATGTGAACATCTTAATTGTTAGACTTGATGTCTCTGAAAATAAAGAAATGTGAATGGATGTGTTTTTAATGAAATATGTAGTATAATTCTTTCTTTTTCAGCAAAAAAAAATATTTTGTTGTTCTGTAATTTTGAATAATATTTTGGTTAAGTTTTGTGTTGATAAAACTGTGATTTTCTATTGTTACTTTCTTCATAGGTCTAATTTTTCATAACTTAACTTATATCACTTCCTTATTTATAAGTAAAGTAATCTCTGTAAATATCTTGTTGTATTTCATTTTTAAATTATGGTATTACAAGTTTAAGAACTTAACTGAGCAGGAGTTTTGTATCAACAAATGAGTTTAATTTGAAATATAGAATTTCCAACATTCTTCATCTAGGTTATGGCAGACATAGATGAGCTTTTGGAATGGTTCCAGGGCACTCAGCAACAAGTTCAGGATGCAGAGCCTCTGTATCCAGACCCTGATACTCTAACAGGCTTAGTCAAAGAACAGAAGGTTTGTAAAACTCTATAAATCTACATGGATTTGAGAAACTGTTCACAGTTTATTATTATAATTTAGTGGATGCCTGTGGATGACTGGTGTATTTTATCTTTTGCACATATGATTAGATAACAATGTTTTTAAACAAGAGTTGATATTGCTTTTGACCAGGTTGTGAATGAAGATGTAAGTGGTCAGAAAAGCCGTGTTCGGGACATTCTGGCTAATGCTAAGAAACTGATGAGAGAGATGTCAACAGAGGACTTGAGTCTCATCAGAGAAAAGGCTGATGAGTTGAAAGACCTCTCAAGTTGTGTATCCACCATGTGTATCGATCGCATGAGTGCCTTAGAACAAGCACTACCATTAGCTCAACACTTTTTTGAGACTCATGCAGACTTAATCCAATGGTTAGATGAGGCAGAGGCTGAAGCAGAGCTGTTAGAGACACCTACCCTCAATGTTCCTCAAATAAAACGTCAGCAGGACAAAACACAGGTAAGAGAAAAGGGCTACTCTAAAAATAGAAAATTCAATTTTACATGTAAGTTAATTTTCTAATTGGAACACTGATATGTTTTTTTTTCCATGAGTGTAGAATTCATAGTGCTGTGTATGTTATTGGGTTGAGTTAAACTATTACAATTTGATGTTAAGTATGAATATTACACCTAGTAATAGTATTATTATGTAATTTTGAGAATAATATTAGCTTACTATTAGGAAATCAATCAAATCCTGAACAGCAAATGAACTAAGAAAATGGAAATGTCCCTAGATGTTACATAAGTTTCTTAAAAATTTTTTTGAACTTTTCTAGGAGTAGACCTCTTAGAAATACCTGGACAATAGTCAAAAAATGAAAGATTACGACAAAATTAAAAAATATATAATCTTCTCCCTAAAGGAACTGCTGCAGTCTTTGAATGAACATAAACCTCTGGTGGACAAGTTAAACAAGACAGGTTCAGCTTTACTCAAACTATGTGGTGATGAAGAAGGGTCTAAAATCCAAGAGATAATGGACTCTGATAATTCTCGCTACAACAGTCTGCGTGGATTAATACGTAACAGACAAAATAAGTTGGAAGAAGCACTACAAGCTACATCCCAGGTAGGGATGTATCTAGAAATCTACCTTTTAAATTTGCAGTCTTTTCTGCTAAATGCACTAGATTATTTTTTACAGTTCATTGTGTTTTCAGAAAAAAGCATCAAGATGTGCTAAAGCACCAACTTACCTTATGTCTAACTATTATAAGGAGAACTGTTACCATTGCAAGATGTTGTCTATAGGAAATTGATTGAGAATTGCCTATTAATGAATCTACATGAAAGAAAGCCATACATATCTACACTTTCTGACCTTAGATAAACATCAACCCTCTTCCTTCATACACCCAACAACAAAGCTTGTTATTAATAATATATCATTACATATAATTTTGACAATTATCATCCCCTTCTTTCATATACCCAATAAAAAGCCTATTATTTCTCTCACATCCTTTCTGTGCAAGTCATTAGGTTTTCTTGTTTACATTTGAAATCTAATTAAACGACTTTACTATCAATGTATTCTGATAAAATTAGCATTATCATCCAACTTATATAAAAAGCCAGTTTGTGTCATGTCACATCACACTTGATTTCTTGAAATAGGAGGAGTCATAAAAGCCAAAATGCATTTATCCATATAGAATAGTTTGATTACTGTCTACCCATTATGATTTAAGTGACAGGGGAGCAAGGGGGCTGTGAGGGTGGGGGGTACTGTGAAACCTTATAAGTGTAGTGAGTGTTGGTATAGTAAGTCTAAAGTAAAGACATGGTGTGTAATCACCTAGACTAAAGCCAAGTGCATAAAATTTATCATGAAAGTAAAAATATCGATTCAATATTTTTGTTGCTAAGCAACATAACATAAAATCCATTGTTGGAATGTAGTGTTACCAAAATGCACTGGCTTTCCTATATATACTAATAGTTGTTAATCTAACTGATTTTTACCAATAATTATTCCATGAATATGCCACAACGGTGGTAGTGCTATGAAACCTTATAAGTGTAGTGAGTGTTGGTATAATCAGCCTAAAGTAGATATAATGTGGGATCACCATGTCTAGAGCCAAGTCCATAAAATTTATCATGAAAGTAAGAATATCGATTCAATTTTGAAATAATTTCTGAATTAAGCTATTTTCTGTTATATCACGAACGTTTTTAAAATTATTAAAAAAAATCTCTTTAATCAGTGGAGACTCTAAATTAAGAAATCAACAAATATTTTTCCACTTTTGTTGTCTTTACATTTCATTTTATACATTCAGCACATAACAGTATCAACAATGATCATAATTTTGATTGGCTCACAAATGAATTTACCAATGTTTGATTGCCTCAACTGCACTTTTCTGCCTTTTTATTGGTCAAGCTTGATTTCACAAAATTTATTTATTTCAGTTACTTGTGAAATGTGAGATTAAGGCATACAATGGGATGGGGGATGTTGTACTTGCCCTGTCATTTTTGACAGGCTATGTGTTAGTGTACATTATAATTCAAAGTTTCATTTTGAATTTACTTACTGATTAAATAATATTTTATTACAAGTTATAGCTTTAACAGTAAGTAAGTAAGATTTGTATTTTTTTAACAGTAAAGATTGAATTAGTATTAATGTTTTAGACAGTACTAATTCATTCTTTATCATTAAAACTTGTGTACTAATAAAATATTATAATCTAAAGTTTTATATTATATATAAAAATTCTTAAACTTTAGTTTTGTTGTCATGTGATGCATGAATGATTACAGATCTTAATGTCTTGTCTCTATTACTTGTATAAGAGTGTAAGAAATGAACTTTCAAGCTCATATCACAACCCAACTCTTTGAATTTATTAAGCATGTTATTGACAGTATTTTCATAATTTGGATGCTTATTGTTTCCTAAAAATATATCAACAACTTCTTTAAAGGCAATCCATGCTTCTTTTTCAACATTCCTCATTGTCCTCTCAAACTGTTCATCTGTTGTAGGCTTGCACGTTACATGAGTAAAAATAGCAGTCATCTCCATGGTTTCTAGGTTTACACCAGACCATTGGAATTTCAAAAAGGCAAAGACTTTTTCTTACCTTTAGTCTATTGTCTCAACTTTTCGACACAACCTGTGCAAACTTTATGCAGAGCCCATGATTTGTTTTAGTCCCCAAGTTTTATTCCAAAATATGTGTAATATGTTTTTTGATGAACTGTGTAATTTTTTGCCTTTGTTTCTTTACGATTTACCATAAATAAGACAGAATATGTTTGGATCATTCACGCACAACCTCTTGTTGCCATGATGATGAATAAATAATACTAAAAAGAAAAAATTAATGTCAAAGTGCACACACAAACAAATATTTTCCAGAAATGACATGTCATTCTTCCTGTTAACTTTTTGTGTATTAGCAGTGTGTTTCTCTTGGGTTCTAGAAAGATTGATAAGACTCGCGTCATGATTGGTCTAGAGAAATCTATGGCCAGTGGTTGTCAACATTTTAAGCATAACAAAATGTGACCCGATTTCAATGAAAATGATCCACGTATGTAGAAGTACATATAACGTGATAGACAAAAATGGATATCATTTTTGGATTCAGTGTACAGGAATTAGTGCAGAACATGTAAAAATTTCAAAACAATAAAACCATCACAGGCCTGTGTTGTTAGAAGTCTTAGTTATTTTTAGTAGATGTGCTAATAGTTGGAAGTTGTGGTATTTGTATCTCCAGTTTTCAGGCAAGTTGAATGTCAATATACAATTTTTTATTACAAGTTACGACTTTTTCAATAAGGAAGAATATGTTTTAAAACAGGTACAACATTTTGATCACTGGTGAGATGATTGCACCAGTGGTCAAAGCATTGAACATATTTAAAAAAATATTCTTATTTACTGTAAAAGCTGTAACTTGTAATAAAAAATACTTATAATCAGTAAGTAAACTCAAAACAAAGCTATTAAATAAATTTACAATGTTTAGTAACAGATGTGTATTTAAATGTCTAGTTTTCAGATAAGTTGGATGGTATGCTACAAGCATTAAGTACTACGGTAGACCAGCTGGGCAGTGCTGAACCAATTTCTGCTCATCCAGAGCGTATTGTAGAACAGATTACAGACAACAAGAATGTCCTTGAAGACTTGGCTAAACGATCCACGGCACTTGAAGCTGTCAAACGTGCAGCTGATGATGTCATTACTAAAGCTGGGAAAGACCAACCTGCTGTAGAAGGTGAATTTGGATTTTAATCTTATGAAAATAGGATGCAACAGTGAATCATTACTGTAAAGGGATACCTAATTCATTATTATTTTGCAGAGGCAACATATTGTGTAGATGGCTTAAATTAATTTACATTGTCAAAGCAAAGGTTTAGTAGTAACAATATGTCTGGAAAATGTATGATCACGTTCTTTAGAAATTTATATTTTATATATTATATTTATATTTCGAAATTTATATTTTTTATTCTTCACATGTAAACCTGAATTCTTTTTGTCATTTATACAATGAATTTTAATTTATGATATCAGTGAAATGCTATTACTAGTGTAAATATAATTGTAAACTCAAGCAATTTGTGTTGGTTTAGAATTTACTCATGACATCTTTGAACCTTCAGATATCCGACAGAAGTTGGACCGACTCAATGATTTGTGGGATAATATCCAGAAGTCGACAAAGAACCGTGGACGCTCTTTGGAAGATGCTCTAACAGTAGCTGAAAAGTTCTGGGATGAGCTTAATGCTGTAATGAAAGCTCTGAAAGAGCTGCAAGAAAACCTAAATGCCCAGGATCCTCCAGCCATTGAACCCAGTGCCATTCAGGAGCAGCAGGAAGCTCTTCAGGAAATCAAGCAGGAGATTGACCAGACTAGACCTGAAGTGGACCAATGTAGGCAAGTTGGTCAGGATCTGATGCAACTTTGTGGTGAGCCAGACAAACCTGAAGTCAAGAAGCATATCGAGGATTTGGACTCAGCCTGGGAGAATGTCACCACCTTGTATGCTAAGAGAGAACAGAACTTAGTGGATGCTATGGAGAAAGCAATGAGTTTCCACTTCACCCTCCAGGTTGGTCATTTTTAGAAGTTTGATGTTTGTATATAAGCCTTGAAGTCTTAATATTGATCTAGTATGTTATGTCTTCACCCTCCAGGTTGGTCATTTTTAGAAGTTTGATGTTTGTATATAAGCCTTGAAGTCTTAATATTGATCTAGTATGTTATGTATAAAATGAAATGTAAATATGATAATTTAACAGTTGAGAGTTTTTACAGTTTATGTCAATAATAGTTATTTATAATTAAATTTCGTAATTTCCCTTAAAATTAGTATTTTAATTTTCTATATATATTGTAAAATCACTTTCTACATTCTACTCTCTCAGAACTTGCTTGAATTCTTGGACAATGCTGAAGAGCAGTTTACCAACCTTGGGCCAGTCGGATCTGATATTGATGCTGTGAAGTCACAGATTGGTCAATTAAAGGTTAGTGTGCTTTAAAGCACATAATTTAGTTTTGTTTCCCTTTTTATTTGAAATGACAATAAAAATAATTACATTTAAAACTGTGTTATGACTGTCATTGTAGAAGAAATATTTGGTTACATCTCATATACTTGTTTAAATATTTCTTGTTAATACATGGCTAGATGTCACTATATACATTATAAAATATAATGAAATAGTTGCATATGTTTTTGCTTATATTACCTGTGTTTGTTATTATAGAATTGTGTGATAACATTATTTCTTTCTGGAACAATAGGATTTCAAGACTGAAGTTGATCCGCACATGATTGAAATTGAAGCTCTGAACCGACAAGCCCAAGAGCTGGTAGAACGCACATCACCAGACCAGGCCCTTGCTATTCGTGAACCATTAGCTGAGATTAATAGACGCTGGGATAACTTGCTGAGGGGCATTGTAGAGCGACAGGTGTGTTGCTATCATAATAAATTGGAAATTTTTCCAATTACATTTTGTTGAAACATATTTTCAGACTTCATTGTATTATAAGTTTTGCTGAGTAATGTAAATTTCACAATTAAATTCTGTTGGAGATATATTTGATAAATTGTTAAAAACAAATAGTGAAACCAGATGAACAGCACTTAGTTGTATTAAAACAATGATAAAAAACATTCATAATTAAAATAACATTTTTGGTTATTCTAATATAATCCATTTTAATTTGAACCATTGTTAAATAATGTCATTAGAGTTAGCAAACAGAACTCCATAATTCTGTACTGTGTTTAAAATTGTCAAGTATCAAGCTAAAAGCTCTGTATAAAGCAAATCAGGGGTATTTACATTAGGATTGCTCACAAATGAGTTAATAAATTAAGATGCTTCAACATAGTGTTTAAAACTGTCAAGTTGAGTAAAAAGTGGATTTATTTGGAAAGATTTCTGACACAAAACATCCAGTAAATTAGAATATTCAGTTAGGTTTCGTAGTATTAAAAGAAGAAAGTATCAAAAGAAAAGCTTAACAAGTAATATTCATTTCTTTACAGCAAGAGCTAGAAAATGCACTCCTTAAGCTCGGTCAGTTCCAGCATGCTTTGGATGAACTCCTGTCTTGGATCACTAGAACTGAAAGAACCTTAACTGACTTAAAGCCTGTTGCTGGTGACCCTCAAGTTATTGAGGTGGAGCTAGCTAAACATAAGGTAAAGTGCATAGTTGTGAGCTGTTTTCTGAATTTTCGTTTGAAACTGATGAGGTTTAGAAATGGTGAAATGAAAAACTAATTTTCTAGTAAACATTTGTAATAATAGCTCAGAAAATTGTTTTAATTTTATATCTATCACAACATCAGTAAATTTTTGATGATTTGTTTTTGTCATGATTTGGTACTCGTGATTTTATTGTGAAATTAAACTCATGAGCACCAAATTATGACAGAAACAAACCATCAGAAATTTATTGATGCATAAATGAACAAATCTGTTTAATATTGTTTTATCTATTCTCTCAGGTCTTAGTCAATGACATTCAAGCTCACCAGAGCAGTATAGACACCATTAATCGTGTAGGCCATCAGTTAGTTGACACAGACCATGGAAGCGAAGATGCTAATGTCACTCAGAAGAAAATGAATGATTTGAACATCAGATGGCAACAACTTCAAGATAAAGCTATTGAACGACAAAAAGAACTTGAAGCAGCATTGAAAGAGGTAAATTTATGAATATTGTCCACACTGTTAATATTTCCTTTAGTATTTGAAACTCTTTAAATGAAGTAGTAAAAGTATTACTATTGTTAAGAACTTTATGCTGCTTGAATATTGTCATTGTTTTTAGTTACACTGTGATTTTTATAATAACAATACTATTGTTCACATTCAGTTTACAGTAACAGTGTTTTATAATTGGGTATGAGCATACATTAACTGTGTTGTATAACTGATTGTGAGCATACGTTAACTGTGTTTTATAACTGGTTGTGAGGCTACATTAACTGTGTTTTATAATTAATTGTGAGCATACATTAACTGTTTTATAATTGATTGTGAATGTACAGTAAATTTATTTTATAAAAGATTGTAAATGTATGGTAATTTTTATAATTAGTTTGGTTATACAGTATCTTTTCAAATTGAATATAAATCTACAATAATGATTTTATAATTGGTTGGGATGTGCAGTAATTTTTATAATTGTTTGGAAATCTGTAGTAACTGCTTTATACTTAGCTATGCTTGTTCATAGTTGTATGTATACAACAACTGTTTTAGAGAAGGTTGTAATAATTTATATAATGCATCACCTTGTCTCTGGCCATGTTGCAATGTATTTCAAGTGTGGTGATTTACAAGAGCAGGTAGCACTTTTAGGAAGGTTATCCACACAAGTTACTCCACAACAGCTACCAGTCATTCACAGGAGGTAATGAAGAAAGTTATGCAGTTTATAACTGGAAGTATCAAAAGAACAGTGGTCCATTACAGCTAAAATAGAAACATCTGTTGGAACTGTTAACACAATCATTCACATGGATTTAGGGTCTAGAAAAGTGACACAAGCCATTTTTACAAGCTTTTCCCTAAGCAACTAGCCAGTTGAAAAACAGACTGTTAAAAGTTGTGTGAGTAGTACCTGGAATGTTACAAGTGAAAGTATTATGTCATATTTGATGAAGCAGTTGTCCCCTTAAATGTCTGCAGAAGTTTGGATGACTTAATGCCATACTGTTGAAGAAACAATGTTTCAAAAATGGCACAGAGCAGTGTTTTGCACGTGGTTGTGAGTACACAGTAACTGTTTAATGGTTAACTGTGAGAACACAGTATCTGTTTAATAATTGGTTGTGGGTACACAGTAAGTGTTTTATAATTGTTTGACTGTTTTATAATTTATTGTGTGAATACACAGCAGTTTCATTTAACAATTGATTGTGAATGTGTGGCAAGTGTTTTGTAATTGGTAAGGAATGCATTATTTTTGGTTGTTTTCAATAGGCTGTAGCCTTCAATCAGGAGATTCAGGACCTTCTACTGTGGCTTAGTGATGTCGACAGCCAGCTGGCTACTTCAAAACCTGTTGGTGGTTTACCAGAAACTGCTAAAGAACAACTTAACCGCTTTATGGTAGTTAATTCCTTATAGTTCAAGATATTGTTTTTTAATTCCTTCTGTAAAGACATTTATTCTCCTGGTGATATTGCTGTAATGTCAGTATACATAGTTTTTATTGTATATTCTTATTTGTAGTGTAAACTATGCACTTTCTCATTATGATTAACTGCCAAAATTGAAAAATATTTCTTACATGTAATTTGTTTCTTTTAAGATTAAAAAAAATTCAGAGTTTCAACCAAACTATATTCATTGTACCTCAGATCATGGTTATTTAATCAAAATGCATTATTTTTTTACAGTTCTGTTAACATTGTTTTATGTATTGACTATGCTTTTTTGTAGTTGCTTGTGCAGATTTCTTGTAACAGTACAAGATTCTACCTGAATTATTACTAGAGTGCATTATATTTTTTTTACTTGAAATGACCTATTGCATAATTTTGTCTGCATTGTAGGAGTTGTATAATGAACTAGACTCGAATCGTCACAAAGTGGAAACAGTTTTGCAACAAGGACAGGATTACTTAAAACGAACAAATGAAGATACAACTACAAATCTTCAACATAATCTTAAAATGCTGAAACAACGTTGGGACAGTGTCCTTAACAAAGCAAATGACAGAAAGGTAAGATGGATAATTTAATCTGTAAATAAGTGATTGATTAGTATAATGAGCGGAAGAATTTTCCGTAATTTGAAACTTAGATAGATCTGTAAAAAAATGATCTATTTTGGTACAGTACATATTGATTTTTGCAATTAGCTGAAGATTTTCTTATGCATTGGAGCTTCAGTACTTCTGTAACATAACATATCTGTTTTGCACACAAATGTTTAAACCCCAGCCAATTAAACTTAAATGTTTTCCTTGTCAGTATGTTTAGTATTATTTCTACTTCAATATAGCTTGTGTGTTTGGAGTTTATTCCAGAACTCTGAAGTAGTGCTTTCATTCTTTACAGATTAAGTTGGAAATAGCTTTACGAGAAGCCACGCAGTTCCATGAGGCACTGCAGGAGTTTGTGGATTGGCTTACAAATGCTGAGAAGTACCTTACAAGCATGAAACCTGTTAGTCGAGTGATGGAAACTGTTATGGAACAAATTAAGGACCACAAGGTTAGTGTTTTATTTTCACACTGCAGTGCATCAGTTGGTTTCAGAATATTTAATTACTAAAATATTAAAGGACCTGATGGGTTCTTATTTCGTGATTTCAGAGAATACACTTCCTAGGATGTTCTTGAATAAAGATTTTCTTCCTGGACAGTAATAATGCTTAAAAAAACTACCAAAAAATAAGAAAAAATTATCAATTTGGAGAGAGTAGATATTTTTTAAATAGTTTGATGATGTTAAAGCTAGCTTTGAACAATTGAGAGAACAATATATAGGTCATTTCAAAGAGATGTGGGTTCCTAGTAGAAACCGCTTGTAACTTATCTGTTTATTTCTTTCTGGTCATAGAGTTTCCAAAAAGACCTGGGTTCACACAGGGAAGTGATGTTAAACTTGGACAAGAAAGGTACACACTTGAAATACTTCAGTCAGAAACAGGATGTCATCTTAATTAAGAACCTACTTATCAGTGTCCAGCATCGCTGGGAGAGAGTGGTCTCTAAGGCTGCTGAGAGAACTAGAATGTTAGACCATGGATACAAAGAAGCAAAAGAAGTGAGTTCAGTTGCCTAAACACAAACCAAGTGAACTGTGATTAAATCATTGATATGAAAAAAGTGTGGAAGTTTACTCTAGTTAGAGGCATATGAAATCTTTTAATTGTATTGCAGACCTTAAATGTTTCAGTTTCATAATGTCATTAAGAACTATAGAAAACTCATATTACCAAAATTATGTTTGTAGTTGTAAAAATTTCAAAATAAGTGCTAGAAGATACTTTTATCAGTGTAGTTAAAAAGCTCTCTCATGAACTTTGTTCAAACTAGTGCAATTTTGTTGCTAGAATCATACTCTATCTTGTACTTTTGTGGATATTTTATGATATTATGTGTTTTTTGACAATACAAAATTACATCCTCTTTATATGGAGGACATTGTTTCTTACTTCATTATTAAGCTGTAAGTTGTGACTACATATTGAATACCAGATAGTAAAATCAGTATGAGTGCTTTATAAAGGTAGTAGTCAAAGTCAATTAACTCAGTCATCACAAATGGTTTGAATGTGTATATATAGTTCTATGATGCATGGAGTGAGCTGATCTCCTGGTTAGATGAGGCTAAAGCCACTCTCGACAGTCTTACTCACATCGGAAAAGATCCGGATAAGATAAAGCAACTTTTAAACAAACACAAAGAGTTCCAGAGAGCTCTGGGAGCCAAGCAGTCCAAGTATGATACAACAATGAAAATAGGTCGTATCTTAAAAGACCGTTGCCCCAAGAGTGACCTTCCTGGTCTTCAGGAAATGATTGATGAATTAAAGAACAAATGGAATGCAGTATGCAACAAGTCTGTTAACAGGTAGGTTGAAATATTTTACTTAAAAATGTGTGTGAAAATCTTTTGATGAACAAGGAGTAAATTAAATCAGTTGTCAAGTAAAATAACTAAATTGATATAATGAGCAATTAAAGACTACAAATTACATGTTAGAGGTTTCTGCTAGGGACCTTAAAATGAGCTATAACTGAGTCTTCTTGAAAAGCTTAACTGTGCAAGAACTTACATGTGAGATTGTTACCTTTTATAAATCAGTTCTGCAGGAAATGACTAAATTAATTAAGATAAATCCTTTTTGATTAGTGTTGAACTTGAAGTGTTAATAAACATTTTGAGTAGTCTAACAGAAAGTATATTGTCTAAAACATTATTTCCAAGGATTGGCTTTATGTGATAAGTATTATGTGTTTCCTTGTCCACCAGACAAAGAGAATTGGAAGAAGCTCTCCTGTATTCTGGTCAATTCAAAGATGCTGTTGTGGCATTGTTTGACTGGTTGGACCGAGCTAAAGGAATCCTAGCTATTGAGCAACCTATTCAAGGTGATCTGGACACAGTTACCTCACTTGTTGACCAACACAAGGTTGGTGAAATTTTGATTGGCTTATATTGCTTATGTTATGCTGTTAAATTCTAACCAAAAAAAGTTTTAAAATGACATATAATTTTATAGAACACTTACTTTTTCTTGTTTTTCCAGACCTTCCAAAATGAGCTGCAGAACCGAGCTAACAACTTGGAATCTGTCCGTCGAACAGCTGGTGGACTTCTGCAGACTGCAACTCCTGAAGAGATGCAACATATTCATAGCCAAGTGAACCAGCTTGATGAGAAGTGGGAAGAACTCATCAGACTGAGTAATGAGAAACAACAAAGATTGGATGAAGCCCTTCAAAAGGTGGAATATTCTATTGAAAAGTTCACTATTTCTTTATCACTGAATATTCTAACATTATGTTTAATATTTTTTTATACTTAAGTTTTCTATGTAGCTCTTTGAATGAGTACTAGGACAGTTAAAAGTTAAGTGAAAGGACATATCCTTAGCCTTTTAAAGCTGCTTCACAAGATACTATTACTTATAATTAAACTGTTTACCAATATTATCAAATTCTTTCTTTTTTTTTTTGCTATAAAGGAGATGCCTCAAAATTTTTAATGCTCAGAAAAGGTTATATGGTCTAACGGTTAGGTTTTATTTCATAGTGTTGTATTTTTATTAATTAGTCACTTGCACATTAAACAGTATAGGCTTGCGCTGCTAACCTGTTTACTTTTGAATATATCAAAAATAAAAGATAAATTCCTTCACCAGGCTGAGCTACTTCACAAGTCAGTTCACATTCTCTTGGAGTGGTTATCAGATGCAGAGATAAAACTGCGGTTCACAGGACCATTACCAGATGACGAGGAGACCATTCGGCAACAGATCATTGAACATCAGCATTTTTTGGACCAACTGAAAGAACAAGAAGATAACAAAGACAAGACGTTAGTGCTAGCTCAAGAGATTCTACAGCACTGTCATCCTGATGGCATCACCATTATTCGACACTGGATCACCATCATCCAATCCCGTTGGGAGGAAGTAAGTACACAAACAAAATCATGCTTTTGATAATCTGTGAGTAATATAAAGACCTTGGTATGTTATATTAAAACAATTGTGGAGCCTCACCATATAATCACATGGAAAAAAGTTATGCAACATAGTTTCTATTGAAAGTGGCTCTGCCATAAGGTTGTTATATCCAAAGAACTCACTTCTCCCTTAATCTTTTCATAATCTACGTAATGTACAAAGACTACAGTTACCAGTGACTGTTTCGACATTCCAATGCACACAAATCCATAAGTGCTGCATCTGGTGTGTCTTTGTATGGAATAGCATGAATACCATTTCATTAACTGCTTGAGGTATGTGATGATTGCAACTTGTGTACATGTATCTTGTGCCACTTTTCCAGATGGAGATCCTTTATGATCATATTTCATACTATTTCCCGTACACTGAATATATTTTGTCACTGACTTTTGGTATTTTTGAATTTTCACCTGTTACGAGATGCCACACGTTTCTTAGTATGGCAGGAGTATGAATTGTTGCAGGTCTATTTCTAGATGATCCTGGTGTCCCAAGTTCATCCATATTCCTTTGTTTTTCAATTCCATTAAGTAGATATACCTGTGTTAGAAATTTTAAGTCCCCAATTTAAACAAATCTTCATGACCTGAGTGTCTGAATATTTTGTATCAGAAAGGGTTGTTATTCCCAAAAGCTATTAATTTCTGGGAGCATCACACTACCTAAAATATCACAACCAGTGTCAAAATGTAGTTCTGATAAATTTTATTCCACCACGACTTTATGTGGTTGTCATATGACTTTCTGATTTGCATATTTCAAAATCGTTTTAGCTGAACATACTTAACCTTGTATTAACATGGTTGTGTATGACTTTCTGATCTCATTTTGTAATTATTTTATTTTGCTAAATTGAAATGTTGCTTTCCATTCATAAAGGTATTCATACTCATAATTCTCAGTGATATTTATGTGCTAAAATGCACTCTGGTCTCACTTGTTAATTATTTAGTTTTACCAGATTGAGATATTACTTTCAGACATTGAAATATTTGTATTGTGTATTTTTTGAGTTATATAAATGTGGTGTTAGATGAATCACTGTTCTCACTAAGCAGAATTCAAAATCCGATTAGAACATAAAAACTATTAATGCAGTTTCTTTTAGTGTTAAATAGAAAATGAACATAATCCGTAGCATATGAAACTCTTCAAAATATAGTTTTCTCTCTTAATCTTATTAACTCATTAAAATTTGTATTTAGATACATTTGTCACATTATCTATGTATAAAAGTTTTGTATTACACGTACTTCTACTATGTTTATAAGCTTTAATACATTGTACACTTAAGCTCCCTACCACCTAAAAGTTAACCCTTTCGTGATGGGTCACGGGTGAAGGGCCATGTCATCTCGTTTGTTGATTTGCATTCAAAACTTTATTGAACTAATATTTCATGAATTTGTGTCAATATCTTTGGTATCAAACTGTAGATTAGAATTAAAATTTTAGTACTATATATTACTCAATTTCTTAATTTAAAAGCAAATATATAAGAAAACAGATAAACATTGAGACACGTGGTATGTTGAATGCAACACTGGTTCATATTAGATGTTTGTGAAGTCAAAATACTAAGTCTATACTTTCATACGAATTAGAAACTCAAATTACTGATATTGACAAGTTAGAATATATAGTAAGAGCCTCTTATCCTTTCAGTTTGCTAAGATATTGCTCATGTAATAAACCAAACACAGTGTCACCCCGCTCACCTCTTTCCAATTTTGGAAACTCTCCCTTATATCCACTTACTTCTATATATGACATGAATAACCAATCAGAAGCCCAGAATGTCTCCCTAGTGGCTCTCTCAGCCGTTTTAATTCTTAAGATGCCATTTCTTTCTTTTGAACCAATATTTCAACAAGGTAGGGTGTCTTTAGTCTGCTGAAAATTTCATATTTTTTGGAATAAAATACATCTTAGTTACTAAGCTTGATAAATTATTAATGTAGTCATTTCTGATTTTTAGTTATTCAAATCTATATATAAAAACCTAAAAAAAATATTTTGTTTCATATCCTCCACGTGCAAAATTTTTAAAGGCTTAGCAACCTACGTCAAGCAGCAAACATGTACAAATGTCGTAACTAGAAGAGATAATTGTTTGCTTTACTTTAGTTACTGTTCTATGTTTTAAGAAAAATAATTTTAAGAACGTATTTCAGAATAGCAATAATATATATACATATATAATGTATAATAATTGAAATGTGACTGTATTTTACAAAATACTAGTCTACTAAAACACAGCAAAGGCAAGTTACTTTATACAGACAAAAGGTCAGTGTTATGTTATTTGATATGGTAACATGAGTGCATGTGAGCCTCGTCATTGTAACTTCTCTATTGTTAGCCAGGCACGGCTGAAGGTCAATATAATAAAAATAATAAATATATATTAATGTATAATGTTATGAGATTTAAGCTATTCAGTCTAAACATATATGTTTTCATGTTATAATTTGTGTTAATTCTAGATTGAAAGAAGCAAAATTTATACTTATTTCCTCATTTTTTTTATGGTGGTTGCAAGATCAGTCAAATTTACCAAACCTGTACAGGGATTAATTACTGAAAATAACAGATAAAATTTAAAGTTTTTTTTCTGAAAAAATGTTTGATAACTATCTGGACATCATAAAGGTTTCTCATGTGAAATTTCAAAATTTTCTGATGCATGAAAGTATTTTTAATCATAAAAAGAATATTACTTTGCATAATAAATAGGCAACATGCGAAAAGAAAAAAATAGACATGAGAAAAACATTTTACGTGTGAAAGCATTGTGATGTTTACAGATAATCTGCCAAAATTCGTTAACATTCACTTACTAATTTAAAAGTTATAGCATGAAAACTATAACAAGCACAAAATGGTTACGAGGTCGGTCCAAAGGACTGAATCCATGCTGAAAGAGTTAATAGTTTTGCAAAATATAGCATCTAAACGTGTTTATCCCACCACAAACTCTACACCATATATTCCAAGACAGTGACATACCTATTACACCATTTAAATGTTTATATCTCTACAAAAAGACACCTGGACTATACATCACATATCTACATCTTTACAAAATTAACCCTTCCTTATGTGAATAATCCTACAAATAAATGTTTGACTTTCTATCAAACAGATCTATGTCTGGGCAAGACAGCGGGATCAGAAGCTACAGGACCACCTTCGTTCATTGAGAGATATTACAGACCTTCTAGAAGAACTGATGAAATGGTTGCTTGGTGCTGAAGCCACTTTGACAACTTTAGAAGCTGAGCCTTTATCTGATGAAGTGCCAGTTTTGGAACAACTGATTACAGACCACCAGGTACTTCAAATGTTGTGTAAATGTATTAACAAGCCACTAAGTACTCTAAATTTAAAGTATAGGAGTTTTAGCAAACCACAAGGTGTACTGTACACATAGAATATCAATATCCTAAAAATTATCAGGCACTGCAAATATTGAGTATTAGTCTAAAAAAAAACACCAACCAACACTGTACATGCTGAGTATCAGAGTATTAACAAACTACCAGTATTAGTGTTAACTAGTACAAGAAAAAGAGTACATATTTAGTATTAATGTATTATACTACCACATATTATAAGTGTTTAGTATTTAAATATGAACAGTTCAGTGTTGCAGATATGGAATGATTTTGACTCTAAGTCTTTAATAGAACTAAAGATTGTTTTAGTTAGTGATAATAGACTTAGTTTGAAGCAAGAAGATAAAGTAAAAATTCTATTATAAGCATATGTAAATATTAGTCATAGTGTAGTTGTTTTTCCAAAGCTATTGGAACATAAATAGTTTACGACAGTCAGTCAGTTGTGATGTTTGCAAATTCTAATTAGTTTGTGATTGGAAGTTTCTTATTGTCGGATATCATAATTTTCATGCAGGATTTCATGGCAGACATGACCAAACGTCAGCCAGAAATCGATCAGATCACAAAAGCTTTCTCCAACAAAAGACAACCCTCTAAACAATCTCACCACCCACCACACCGTGTTAAAGGTGGGAGACATGAAGATCGAAGACCAAGCCGTGGGGTGGGAGCTACAGGTCCTAAAACATCAACACCATCGTAAGTCATCCAAACATGGTTGATTGACTACATATTACACTGCATGTACAGTTTCATTATAAGAAGAAAAACAACATTTGTGTAAACATCTAAGTATTAGTAACTGAGTAGTGTATATTATAGTTTAAGATTTGTTTAAAAAAAACAACTTAATTTCTTTTTTGTTTTTAGAAAACCATATTCTGACCCTGAAATCAAGAATCCCCATGCAAGGGATTTGCTAGACAAGTGGAGAAATGTCTGGCTACTAGCAATGGAACGCCAACGCAGGTTACAAGACAAACTTAATTATCTGAGAGAGGTAAGGTCACCTTACACTACAGTAAATTCTGGTTTTAATAATTTCTCTATGTGATTAAATAATTTTCTGTTATATGTTTAACATGTGTCCCTCAATACACACACACTTTTGAAAAGATGGAAAAGCTTTAAAGGTCCTGTGAAGTTTTTTTTTCTGTATGTGTTAATTCTGAAAAATTAATTATCCAAATGGGGCAACTTTTTTAATTTACTGAACTGAGATTATACTGGAATGCTCATTTCTATTGAATTTGAAATAAAAGTAATACAAATATATGTTGTTGCTCATGTAAATCACAGTTATTAAATTATTTTTACACTTATACATATTTTAATTGTAATGGACTGAAGTTGAACTTCTTTTTTTTTAGCTCGAAAGGATTAAAAATTTCAACTTTGATGAATGGAGACGAAGAGTAAGTGAAACTTGAATCTTCTGATATTCTTTTATAATGTTAACAAACACAAATTCTGTTACAGAGGAACTTTAGAGAAGGTATTATAAAGCTATAGCCATATTAAGTATCTTTATTGGTTTTAGATTAATCATTTGTTACTAACCTTTAATATTTCTTTAGAAAAATTTGTTTTCAACAAAATAACTTTTATTGTTTCAGTTCCTAGGCTGGATGAATAATAAGAAGTCCCGTATCATGGACCTGTTCAGAAAAATTGACAAGAACAATGATGGAAGAGTTACAAGAGCAGAATTTATTAATGGCATACTGAAATCAAGTAAGTTTCTGTTTTTTGTTATTTTTATGTAAGAATTTTAAAGTTAATTTTAGTAAGCTTTTAATCAGTAGTTTCTGATATAAGTATACACATGAGTCATGAGTGGATTGTGACTTAAAATATGTTTTAAAACATATTAAAAGCATATTTAAAACATGCAATTTGCTAATTTGTATACCATGGATTTACAAAGGTTTAGATATATCTGTGATAATCATTAAATTTGTGAGTATATGACAAGTTTGATTAAAATTCAATATTTTAAGTTATATGAAATTTTTTTTCTCTAACATTCAGAATATTCAGCTAAAGTTATGCAAAATTTAGTAAAATATATAGCCATAAGGGGTGCCATGAAGAAAACATGTCTGCGATGGTACTTTTAAGATGTAAACATGCCAATTTAATATTCATCATTTGTATAAAATGTTGTCAAAAAACCAGTGAAAAATTAACACTTATGTTTTCACTAGTATGTGTAAAACAGTTAATTCAACTACTTTATTATTACTGTATACAAATAAACTTGACATTAAAATGTAGTTAATAAATCACGTTTTAATAATATGTAAAATTTACATTCTTAATTTTATAAGGAAATATTTAAAAAATCCTCAGTCTCCCCTAATATAAGATCCTCCGTTTTCTCTAATTTATTTACCACCCCTCTAAAAAGTATGGAATCTCATGTAAATTACTCATTGTAATATAGGTGTCACTCAGGCAAAGCATAATTTTTATAACCTTCAATCTTATTTGTCTACTGAACTGTAAACTAGAAAATCAGACCCACTTGCCATGCCCACCTGTCACATCCTCTCTTTCAGATATTGCCAACAGTTCTCTGATATTTTATACTATATGATTTATAACTAATAGAAAGCCAAAGTTTTAATGTATCAAGTGATGTATTATATTACATTTTTTTCTGTATCAAGTATTATCTATATATATTTCATTGTTTGGTTTTAAATTTTTTCTTATGGGAATCACGCCAACAAGCTTAGCTGAATTTTTAAAGGCCCTTATTTCATAGTTAGAAAGCCAAAAAACATTATGATAATTATAGGATATTGTTTTGCATTTTTAGGTGTATTACTTAATTAAATATAAAATTATTTAGTGCAAGAGTACCTTTAGTAGGGTTAAGTGTCATCAACAGTCGACATCAAAAAAAAAGACAGGTAAGTACTGTATTTCTTGCTTTTCAGGTGTATTCTTTATTTATTTTTATAAAAGTAACTAAAATGTCAAAATTAAAAACTTAACAGATTAGATTAGGTAATGAAAACAAAAAAAAATCTTCATGAGGTATGCTTGTGAGCATATGTTATATCATTCAGTACAGTAACTTGAGCTGCACATTTGCCAATTGATTTCCAACTTGGGTGGTTAGTTAGATACTGTCCAAGGGTCAATAAAATCAAGTATAAGCTTTTTAGGATAAACAATTGTAGTTTTCTATTACAATCTGCAGTCATTCTAGAAAGAAAAAAAAAGAGTGATTTAGATTTATTTCCTAATTTAGTATAGTGGTTACAAGGTCAATCAAATCGACTGACTCCATATAGAGTTAGGGTAGAGAAAATATCAGATAAGATATAAAGTTTTTCTGAAGAAATATGTTTGATATTTAGGAGGTTTTAGTGATTACACAATTTTCAGTTGAAAAAAGTATTTTTCATCTTTTTTAAGATTAAAATCACTTTCCTTTTAGAGCAGTCAATACTCTGACAACTTTTAATACAAATTCTGATTTTTTTGTCTGTAATATTTACTGAAAGCTTGCCAAATTTCGTGAAGATACATTAAGTACTATCAGAGTTATAGTGTGGATACCTTCATGGTTACATGGTGATTACAAAGTTGTGTAAAATAAAAGGGCCTGTTGCAAAAGGGTTAATGGATTTATACCTTTTTATCTATTGATTTTAAGTATTCTTATTTGGAGTTAAAGAAATTGATTTGTACTTGTTTTTGAACTTTTGTTTAACACTTGTAACATATTTCCTTGAATTTCTAAACTATTATATTTACTTTCTGTAAAAGAATTTCCAACAAGTCGTCTTGAAATGGAGCGAGTTGCTGAAATCTTCGACATAAATGGAGATGGTTTTATCGATAACAAAGAGTATATTGACACACTTAGACCAGATAGAGAGGTATAGTGTTTTATTTGATAACATAAGGTAAATTTGACATCTTTACACTTGGCAGAGAGTTAACAAACACTGTACTGATACCTTTACATTGGAAAGTTATAGCAAAGTGCATGTTCATTTCTACTACTTTTCTTTCTTGCTCTTCATACACTAATAGTCTATATGAAACTATAAATTATGAAAACTGCTATTTGATCTATCCCATTCTCAATGACTTATTAATTTAACCAACTTGTATCCTTAAATAATTTTGAATTTAATAACAAACATAACATTCAGACTAATAATACTGTCATGTAATAGTATTGAAAGAGGGGAGGGGCTTTGACTTTGATAATATTTTAATGAATAATATTGAAAGACAGTTGTTACAGGGAAGCACTGTAAAAACTAATGTAGAAATGTTATGTTAATAATATTTTGCTTATTTGAACAGCCAGTATTGAATCACTTCAAAACATTTACACTTCATAACTCTAGGGATAACAAAGATCATTTTTGAGATCAGCGCAGATCTGAAAATTGTTTTTTAAAAATCTCTCATGAAACTTATTTATAGTTTATTGCCAAGAGAATGGAATACAAAAAGGCAGAAAAATTAGTTTTTATTTTTGCATGAGAAAAAATAAATGATTAATTGATATGATCCAAACAATTTATGATGTCTCCACCGGAACAACAGCTGATTTCTGTTGCATTGTAATTGTCCATCTTGCTTACCAAAAAAGCCTGACAATTATTATTTCTTATTAGTAATAACATAGGGGTCTCTGTGTTGAAATTTTAAACTTGTTCTTTTTTTTTTTCTCTCTTTTTTTATTTTCATTCTCACTATCCCTTTTTTGCATCTTATTCCCATCTTTTAATATACTGGAAATCACTGTCATACCTTCAACTTTCCAATTCAAAGCCAACTTAATTACTTCTATCTTGTCAGGGTAGGCAGGCTTAGAAACCCTTTAATGTCTCTAAAGATCACTAGATTTCACAACTTATATTTTCTTTTCACTCTAAAATCACTTGAAAAAGGAAGATATACCTTTTGAAAGTGTTAAGGTTTCTTGTCTTGCGATTTAACAATGTTTCAGTGTTATACAAGTTCTTCGTATTGTACAGCATATACTGATACCATACCATTTCACAGAGGTTTGTTAAATGGTATATATAGTCCCTGGCATTGGACATCTGTAATTTTGAATGAATTATTCATTAAATATACATCTGATATGTTATCTTAAAAAATAAATTAGTAGCCCATTGACAAGAGCAGTACAGTCACTGTGATCTATGCTAGTTAAACATTTTTAAACGGTTGAATGGTATTCAACATATAATCTTTTGCTTGTATAGTCTTCACTGAATAACAAGATTGTATGTATGTACGTAATCAGACTTAGATTTAAATTTGGTAGACATATGTAAAATACATAACAAAAAAATTCTGTTAATTTTGTTTAATCACTTGAATTTTGTTAATTTGAAAATTAATCACTTTCAAAAACTTGGTTTCTTTTTAGGTAAAAACACTGAAAAATTGTATTCTTTGTAGTCTTATTAATATACACTCTTGGTTCCTAATCCCAGAAGATTTATCATAGTGAACATATAAATAGCATTTTTTTTGTTCAAGGGACGTCCAAAAACTGATGCTGAGAAAATTCAGGATGAAGTTCAGAGACAGGTAGCCCAATGCTTGTGTGTTCACAAGTTTAAGGTCTACCAGGTCGGTGAAGGCAAATATCGTGTAAGTATGATTATTTTTATAGCTTTATCTTTATTTGAAACCATTTCATAATAGCAAAAACCTGTTTAATTTTTTAATCACTGGTTTTTCTAAAGGAATTACCTAATCAGAATACATTTTTTGATGTTACCAGTGTTGAGATAATCTATCTTTTTGTTCTAGTTTGGTGAATCTCAGAAGTTGCGACTGGTTCGTATCTTGCGCAGTACCGTGATGGTACGTGTAGGGGGTGGTTGGGTGGCACTTGATGAATTTCTTGTGAAGAATGATCCCTGCCGAGGTAATTACTATTCATTTATTGTTCTCTGTAAAGTTAATTCCGGAAAAAGATTAATGAAATGGAAATACATGACTTAAAAAACATATCGTAGATCAATATCATACATTCTGAACAAGTATATTTGACATTGTTGTATTTGTGGTGAATTACAATAATCCAAACATTATTATACTTGGTTGTTCACTTTACTCTACATAACTATTACTTTCATACTTTTTATTATGAAAAATAATTAATTTCAATTTTTATCCAGTTATTTACTTAAACCATAATTTTACAATTTTATTTTTAAAATTGAAGTTTTATTTAACATTTTTTGTTTTCAGTTTGTGTGCTTTAAAAATGCACCTTTTTCCTACTAACAAATCTTTACATTGTTTATTTCATTACAAGATAAGCATTTTCCATTTAGTACTAATAATCTGATTCATACTGTTCTTATGACATACAAAAGGACACATATTATGTAACAAATTAGTGAATGATCATCTATAGCAGTGTGGTTCAATTAACCAGTGGTAAGAAATGCCAGTGAGTGCTTTATGTATGCATTCTGGTTTATTTATACCTTTTTTTTTATGTATCTGTTCTGTATCGTCACTACATACTTGTCTTGTTCTTATTTATTTATTCTCTTCTTCTTTTTCATGTTATATTGTCATAAATTTGTTTGGCTTGCACTTACATGTTGTATGTGTCATATTTTCAAGAAAAACTTGACCAATTTGTACTAATTCATTCTTCTGTGTATTTTTGTTTTTATATTCTTGTCCAACTGTCAATCATTCTAGTAAACAATGGGTAATTTTTGGTGCAGATGAAGCAGGCCAATAGCATTATAATCACTAACTTTGCTTACTTCCAACATGGCTTTCCCAGGAGTAGAAAACATTAATTTTTTCCAAAAGAATTAATTTTGTTTTTGTAGTAAATGTTATAACAGGATGATTTTTTTGTTTGTAAAGAAACATTTTTAATGTTGAATTCCTGCATGAGCATTTTGTTTTGTCTATTTTGTTTCACAATCACCTGCATGGCACATTTTTTTGTTATGTTTGCTACCACAGCCAAGGGACGCACCAATGTTGAGTTGCGGGAACAATTTACTCTAGCTGAGGGGGTCAGCCAATCCATGTCTCCATTCCGAGCCAAGCCCAGCTCTAATGCATCACAGTCCTCCCATAGCGGATCTTCCTTTGGCCGCTCAGGCTCAATCCCATCCACAGGGCCCATCACGAAGGTTTGTTTATCACCCGTTACAATGACACTTTCTGGAGTTATGTTTGGAGGAAGAAATCACCAAGTTCGACAGCTACTCAAAATTTGACTGAACATTCATCCTATGTATGCCAACTAAAAACACTCATTCTAGGAAACATCAGAATTAATACAAAAATATTTGAAATTATTGCTCTCCAAACTTGACCTCAGAAGTCTCCTTAATTACTGTAATTGTATCATAATCCATGTTAATTCTCCTGGAATTCATGCCATGCACATTATGGTGTTCAGTTTTAGTGTGGAGCATGTTGCTTGTCCAGTATAAGTTGGATATTCAGTATGAACAAAAGGGGTAGTGTATCATATGTTTTTCTTTGCTTACACTCATAAAATCCTTAGAAATACTAAGTTTCATCTCTTTGTGTCAAGTGTAGGTTTGATAGTCAGTAGCAATTACAATGTATCTGTTATGTCAAGTGTAAGTTTGATAGTCAGTAGCAATTACAATGTATCTGTTATGTCAAGTGTAAGTTTGATAGTCAGTAGCAATTAAAATGCATCTGTGATGTCAAGTGTAAGTTTATATTGATTGTCATTATGTGTTTTTGTGATATTAAGAACAGTATGTATAATAGTATTTTAACCACACATTGTTTATTGTATGCTAAGAAGGCCTTTTTCCTCACTACCAGAGCTCATCAACTAAGATTTTGTATGTTATAACCAAACCTAATGAACTCTAGCATCAAGTAAAATGCCTAAAAAACCAATGGGATAGTTGAAATTTTATTATATGCATACTACTTACAAGAAGCTAAAATATCATACATCCTTGACATAATAATTGCATACATTTTGTACCTTATCCTTGCTAAAGTTGAAAACAAATATATAAAATCAGAAACGTATTTTAATAAACAGTACTTCCTGTTATACATGATTTTGGTTTTTAAATATACAAACTTCAGTCAATATTGAAAAACTTCTATTTGGCCAAATTTAATTTAAAATTTCTGGAATTCTTATTACATTTTAAGGCAGTAGATATTAAATCAATAGCTGTAAGAATGTAACATTCCATTAAAAGTAGTGTTCTTTTACTAAATGCAAGAAAAACTACTGTGTTACTAACCTAATATATATATATATATATGTGCTGGTTTCTGTGCTTGTGAATTTGCTCGCTGTATTTTGAGAGTGCTGCTTATTCAGGTAAGTTGCAAGATTTGAGACCATTCAACCTGTTTCTACTGTTTCTTCATCACTGTGTAACTCACCAAATTTCCAATAATTTACTGGAATTATATTGGATAGCAGAGCAAGATTTAATTTTTATTTCTTACTTTCTCTATCTGTATTTCAGGATATGATGAGGAAAAAAATCCTATAAAAACATGGAGTTTCAGATCCTACTTAAACTAATCCAACAGCTATCATAAATTAAATTTGAATTTTTTTTATTAAAAGGTACCTTGTGCAATTTAATGTTATTAAAAGATTACTTTTCCTATTTGTATAGTACAAAGAAAACTGCAAAATTGTTGAAAGAAATTAAAGCAGTATTTCAGACATTCAACTTGTTAAGCTCTCTTCTTTATCATCCTGTTATCTTCTGTTATCTCCTCAATCTTCTTTCAGCCCCCTTTCTTCTCATGCGATGTTTACCAGTTCAAGGAGTTCTCGAGCCATCCTTCTATAGACCAGTTCCATCTGACTCCAACTCTCGCATCCCTGTTTACTGCTGGGTAAAAACAATTAAATGTTTCTGTGGATGTACTTCTAGTTAAGTGGGTTGGCTGGCTTTCTTTTGCATGATATATATCACATTAGGATATAGGCACACTTCTGCATGATAATATGTTACTATAATACAACAACACATTTCTCAATAAGATACAGGCAGTATTCTGTAAATGTTAAGTATCTCTTCTGTATGAATTAGTTTTCTTGATGTTGCATATACTTCTAGGATACAGGCATTTTGCATGATACGTACTTTACATGCAAAATTATTACACATTTAGAGAGAAAACATTCAAACTAATGCAGTAAAGTAAAAGATCTCCATAATTCTTTGCTTCTGATAAAAAAAAGACTTGTATATTCATGATTTTATTACACACTAATGTTTGGTCATGTTTAAGCACTTTGAAGTTTCATTGTAATATTTATATAAAAAATAAATAGGGGAATGAAAATAATTATGATCAGCTTGACCTAAATTAGGAACTTTCATGAATCTCACTTATACATACTGCACCTTATATCTCCTTGCACTGTAACCTACTCACTATCTCTCTCTCTCTCTCTAGTTGCACTTTAGTTAAGTTAAACTTTTGAGTCTTAATATGAACAACCATGTTGATGCTCCATAACTTGGAAGGATATGACACAGGTAAGAGCTGTATTAGTATTGTAAATGTAATTGAACCTTACTGTAAGACTACCAGTTCCAGTTAAATTTATCTTCAAGAAAGATTTTATGTTCATCATCTTAACAAAAAAAAGGATTGTTTTTTTTATAGCCAGATTAATTACTGCAGTACTGTCAAATTATCTGTTATAATATATTAAACACTGTTGATCATTTTAAACATTCTTAAGGTCCTTGTTGTTCACAAAATTCATAATAATTTTCAAACTTTCTCTAGTTATTAAATCCAGCGAGTTTTAGATAAAGGAATACTGTACAATGAAATAATTATCTTATTCATATGGCACGAAGTAATTAGAAACAAACAAAAAATTAATTTTTTTTTACTTAGGACAATTTTTAGACAAAAAGGTTTTAGTTCATAGTTACTTTGGCCCTGTTGTATGTGTATATAGTTTTTCTCTTTAGTAATGGTTGAGGATACTGTAAAATGAACCAGAATGAAGAAGTTCAAGAACTTGTTTTTGCTGGTGCTATTAACTTGCAATGATTCCAAAGTATTGTCAGCAAACTTAAGTTTATATAACTATTCTTACACAACTTGTGCACATCTACCAGTAACATTAATAACTTGTACTGTACTATTTTATTTTAAATTTCTTCTATCTGCTTTCAAAGCTTTTGATCTAAAGTTGTTACATGTGCATATCTAATTTTGCAATGAACACTTCCAACTTCATACTTTTCCTTGTAGGTTCGTGAGAAAAGTGAACGAAGCACACCTCTTCAAAAGCGTCGAACTTCAGGTACTGCAGACACAAGTAGTGAAAGTGGTCCTAGTTTCAGTGAGACTGATAGCTTTGGTGCCAGGTCTGGACGGCCATGGCTGACTCCTACAGCTCATCGGGGTACTCCATCAGGTCAGGAACTCTGTTAGATCTTAGTACAGAAATGTTACTCTCATTTAAATCTCTAGGTTGCATTTTAAAAACTCTCACTCCATACTATGTATCTTTTTCCAAATCTTAAGTAAGCTTGTTGATAGTTTTTCTATTAATAATTTTATTGAACTAACATAAATGTGGCTAGCTTTAGTAACTCAACCTAATTCTTGTTTTATTTATGAACACTTATCCAGGTTCAAGGTGGTTTTTATTATATCAAAATAAATGTAGAACTTCAGAGAGTGTTTATTAAAAATCAAGAGATTAAATAATTAATTCACTTTTATTAAATGGGGTAGTATTGATATAGATCATAAGATATGCAGGTAGTGATGAGATAGAACATGTAACTTGCATTGCTTTATTTTTCATAGCCAGAGATATAGCAGTCTCCTAATTTCTAGGTATCTTGTTGTGGAAACTTCATAAATTTACAGTAAAATTTTTTTTGGAGAAGGATCTGGCAGACTGCAAATCTGAGGGTCTATGGTTTGTGTTCTGTTACCACTTTGAGGCAATGTGTTTGTTATAAGCATGAATAGACTAGCCAAATAATTGGTGCTGGGGTGCTATTTATTAGCTGTTTTTTCCTCTAATCTCCCAGTTCAAAATTAGGGATGGCTAGTGCAGATAGCCTTTCTGTAGCTTTGAATGAATATCAAGAATAAACAAACATTTTCTTGGTGGTAAATTAATGTGAGAAGAGAAATTTGTTGATTTTAAGAGTAATTTCTAGTCTTTAATAGATTTTTCATGAGTAAACTTTTTCAGAAATTAGGCAACAAATTTTTAATTCTTAACATGATCAAATACGAAGTATATTTTTAACATGTTGAAGTTCTAGCACCTGAAGCTTTAAAGTATTACTGTTAAAAGTACATTGAGCTTCTTTTTTGTGCAAACTGTAGAAAGGCAGGAAACTTTAATCTTGACAAAATAATAGAATTTCTACACTTTAACATCCTTGTAACTAAAATACAAACTGGCTCAGTTAATGTTGGTCGAAATAATGAAATGCTTGTAAAAGTCAAATTTCTACACTCGAACAACCTAAATGGAACTATCTGCAAGACAAAAGAACATCTCAATGTAATGAATTCTCTGCACACCTACCAGCTTAAGTTGGACAGTAATGATGTACCTTCTTGTTAGCACCAGTTAATTCCTTAATGGTAGTACAGCATTTGCTTAGACCAACTTCTCTACCACTTTCTCAGATGACTCAGCATATATATTCACTAGTTTTATCTAGAACACTTAATCTCTACATTATGGTAGTTAAGAAGGTGAATAATACTTTTATGTCTTTTATCACCACTAATGGTATAAATCATTTTATTTTTCAATTTAATACTATTAGTTCATGTATAATGCCCTGTTAAAAATATTTTGAACTCAAGTTTTGGGTTTCAGCATGATTTTTTTTTGGCAGGTACCAAAACATCAAGTCGCCCTACTAGCAGAAATGGAAGTCGTCCCTCTAGCAGACCATCAAGCAAGCCACCAAGCAGAGCTGGCAGTGACTTGTCTACTGATAGTGTGGAAGCTTATCGAAGTGCCCGCAGAACACCAGTGGGTAGTACTAAAATCCCAGCAAGCACTGGCAGACAGAGAACACCTAGTGGCTCATCTCAAACATCAGCCACAAAGAGTGCTAGCTCTACACCAGGAACACGGATTCCCACAGCACGGAAAACATCTTCGTCTTCAACTGGTAGGGCTGATGGGATCAAAGGCAAAGAGAGATGGAAATAACTGGATAACCAATATTCAGACGTAACCTGAACTGTGATCTTGAAGTAGTTATTTACCATTCTTTGAAGTATCGTTGCTCAAATTACAACCCAAATTTTGTGCGATGAAGAGTACGTCTGTTATCAGCATTTAATTTCCAGCTTATTTTTTTTAGTGTTTAGCACACAATGATGAACTACTTCAACCTTAATACTGGCTAGGACTAATCTAAACAAGAAAGATGGCATAGAAAAAAAAAAGAAAACTAGTTTTATTTTAATCATTGAAGCTTGAGTATTTAATAAAGTTGTAGTTTTAAGGAACTTTTGAAAAAAAGAGCTTAATGAAATGCTTTTTGAGCACTGTTAAAGTTAGGGAAAAAAAATTCTGTAATGCTCTCCTAACATTCCGCTAAAAACTTATGGCATCGGAATAAGAGGGCAAGGAAATAGTTCCCCAAACTTGATATGGAGAATCTCAACTGAGCTTTGCTAAGGGTCACAGCAAAAAAGTGAAGAACATATATTCTGGGTATTGTAAGGGCTTGGATGATCTCTAGAGTTGTAATTACTTTCCTAACAAGTTGTTTATGTGCTCACTGGGGCCTATCTTATATCACTGTGAAGATCATGTTTTGTTCAAAGTGCCAATCTTTTAAGTGGGTTTTGTTGTGTTAAAAGTTGCCAAAAGTCATTATTTGTGTTGCTCTGTAGTAGGTTCATGTTTGTGGCAGCTCTTCTGTTTATTTAACCAATTGCTTTTCCCAGAAATGATATGCTTATTGAACAGTTATTTTAAATTATCGGGATGTATACATTCCTTTAGAAGTGTCTTTACAACACACACATGACAATTCTTGTAAGCCAAGGTTAGGTGATGGGACTTAACTTGGGATTAATAACCTTGGTCTCAAATTATGAGTATTGTTTAATAAAACCCTGTCGTTCAATGTAATTGTTGCTTTTATGTAATTCAATAAACAGAAATAATATTAGCCTTATCAACTGTGAGTCCTTTATTTTTATTTCACTGTTGCACATTGTAGGCAGGATCAGAAACAGTAACCCAATAATATACATGAATTCAGAGGGTGAATGGTAAAGTGCTTGAATTTCCTGTAAGTAATATGTGATCAAAATAATGGAGTTTAGAGGCTTAAATGTCCCTTCTAAATTAAATTGTGAGGTTTTTTTCTCCTACGATTACGATTTTTCACATTAGCATATTCATAAAAGTGAACCCCAACTTTTTTCTTCTTTCGCTCCAGTTTTCTTTTCTGAAAAGTAAAAATCAAATGTTGAAATTAACATTAAAAAGTGTTAAATATATAAACCATTATTATATTAGGTCATCAAGAAATTAATGTTGCTTTTCCATCTTACAATCAGGTTGTTAATGCTCTGATAAAAGAAATAACTTGGCTTTGAAGCAAAAAACATGTGGATGTCCTCTTTAAAACCTTCCATATTTGCATACGTTTTTCCCATTAACATGGTGTTGCAGCTAACAAAAAAAAATGGTAAATCTGGAGAACTTCCCAATCCAAGTCCATAATCTTGTGTTGCATCAAATGTGCCACATGTGGATTTGCATTGTTGTGGAGAAGAAGAACACCTTTCCGATGAAGGGTGTGGTTTAAACATTCTAGTTGCTGACTATATATCTCTGCATTGACAGTTCGCTGTGGATTGAGGAGTTCGAAATGAATTACTCCTTTGATGTCCCACCAAATGCAAAGTGGGGTAGGAAGTGGTTTTTGTCTAGGACTGAGCCATTGTTTTTGGCATTTAAATTTGCATAGAGAATCCATTTTTCATCACCGGTAACAATCCTGCCCAAAAATAGTTCATGCGCCAGAAGAGACGAAGCAACATTAACACGTAGGAAACGATGATTATCGGAGAGTTCATGAGGCATCCAAATACCTTTTATGGAATTTTTCCATATTCCTTAGATGTTTACATATTGTTTCATGAGAGACATGCAATTTCATGAGTGTGTGTTGTCTTTGGTTAGACTCAACAAGCTTCTCTAGGGCATCAATATAAATTCCAACATGTTGGCCCCTGCCATCACAGTTTTTAAAACTAAGGTCACCTGAACAAAATTTGCTGAACCATGTTGACACTTACGAATGTTCAAAACATTTCTATAAACCTCTTTGATATTCTTTTTGACTAAAGAGGCATTGTTTCCCTTCTTATAGCATTACATGCCAAATATGTGCCATCACTATAAGGAATTAGAGTATACTAAACTTTACACATTATAGATTATACTAACGTGACGTTTAGGCAGTTCGTTTAACTATTATACTTGATGTACGTTTTGGGGGGGGGGGGGTTAGTGAAAGTGTTCCTAAACGTGACATTAATTTCTTGATGACCTAATACTTAAACTTGGACAAGTCACATATTGTTAGTCTTCACTTTTAACTAATTGACATTAAAATTATCGAGTTCATTCCAAAAGTTAGCATTATTTAAACTGAGCACAAATGTAATTTACACTTTATACCTCTTTACTAGTAAGTTTCTTGTCTGAAACCTCAGCATCTTCTTTGAATTTTCGCTTTTTACTCTTTCCACCAGATGTAACAACAAAGTTTCCACTGCTTGTCTGCATAAAAAACAAAACTTAATTTGACAACTTAATCCTTACTTAATTCCAAATAAAGCAAAAATTATAAATGCTTAACACCTCAGAATGGAATTACCTTAAAGTAGATTGATTTTATATTGCCATTAAAAGTACAAAGCCTTCTATCAAAAACACTGAAAAATTTAATTTGAAAATAAACATGCTATCATGTTGTTAGAAAGGTTAGAATGACTTGGATAACATCAACTGTACAAATTCATATGTGTTAAAGTAGGTAAAATTACTTTGTGGGAGCTGAAATGGAAACTGAACATATAAACACAGTGTATGCAACACTTCATACTTTTAACGAAAACATCAAAACACAGATTATTGTCAGATAAAATAATAAAAAATTATGTAAAATGCAGCCTGTGGATTCACTAAGGTCTGTCTGGTACTTGTTGAAATCTGGACATTTGGTAGTTTTGGCTTCAGCTGCACATTTCATAAAAGGCTGGGGGAGGATTTGAATTTGCTATGCCATAATTTGTGTATATGTGTTAATCCAGTAATTTAGTAATGGGACAGCAGTATTATTTCATTATTAATTTATTCCTTTTACTCCCTGTTGAAGACAGGCCTACCAGAAATATATTTCCAGTATGGGAAAATTATAACTTCATTACCTCTTCTCACACAAATAGCTAGAATCCCACATTGAAATGGTGGATGGACTGGTGCATGAGAAATAATGAAGCATCCTTTGAAAGCGTCCAACGGACACCCCCAGAGTAGATCCTTATTGTAGAAGATCATACACTTTTATACCAGGTATACTCTTCACCCGTTGTGGAAATATGGAGGAGGACATCCAAGTTGGAGAGAACTATGGCAAGATAGGGATCCGAACCATAGAATATATATTAAACTCAATCCCGGAAACATAAAAGTGGGTAAGATGAAAAGGATGTGCCCCTAGGTGTAGAGTGGCTAGGGCACGAAAGACTGTACATGGCAAGTCAAGTACCAACATCCATGTGGGGGGGTAGGAAAGAGGATGATACCACTGGCAAGTTGACTACACAACTCAAAATCCAGGCCACTGGGAGCCAAATCCCTGAGGGGGTAGGAAAGAGGATCATACTGTCTTCACCTCAAATTCATGAGACCAGAAGAATTCTCATACCCCCCGACCCATGATGATAATGTGAGAAATTGATTGATTGATCCAGGAAATTGACATCTTGCATAAAAAAAATGTGTGTGTAATGTAAACCATCTCTCATAAATTTAAAATGACAGAAAATAAAGTTCAGTAAGATCCTCGGAATAATAAGAACATTGAGGGAAAGTGGAAGGGGAAGAACTGTAGTAATCTGCAAGACCCACAACACAGATGGAGTAACAAGAGTTTAAATGAGTGAGGGAATAGACATCTATAATACATATGTGAGGACTTATGTTAATTGGTTCAGCTCTAGCTCCAAAACCTAGCCACTAGGAACTGACATCCACATAGGGGTGAAATGGATTGATCGATCCAGGAAATTGACATCCAGCATCGAAAAGATGTCTGTGTAATGTAAACCATCTCACACAAATTTAAAATGACAGGAAATGCCCCTTTGGAGATGAGAATCAGGGAATTAAAACAATCCAAAAGAAGGGAAGGAAGCAGTAAACCCTATGTCGTGGGGGATATGTTCAACTACCAATGCATATAGACGAAAAGGGAAAGATGAAAATTAAGAGGAAAACCCAAAGTGAAGGCTCAGAAAACAGAAAGCTCTTTCAAATTGCATTTGAGGAGGAGAATGGATGCTCACGATGAAGGGGGTGTTTCAAAATACACCCCCCAATGAGACCAGAATGTGAGGTATGTAACATGAAAATCTTATCCAACTGAAAAATTCAATTACCCGAGCTGACTGTGGAAGGAGTAGATGAGTATGTTAAGACTACCCCCATTTGGAAGGAGCTAACCGAAGCTAGACATCCAATGAATGGTGTAGGTAAAATCCCCCAAAATGTGGAAGTCAGGTAAAATGCAGACCTCCTCACAAAAGACATATAGAACCGAAAAAAGTCCAAAGGTCAAGGCACAGAACTGGTACTGAATCACATGGTGAAAAAAAAATGAAGAACGTGTACTGTGAGCAATCATGCAGAAACAGCCTACCAAAATGTGATTAAGGACTACATATTAAAATGGGGAAGACCCAAGAATTGATTGAGGTGGGACCAATCGATCCAGAACCCCAGTCAGCATCAAGCATATGAGACAAATGTAGAAAACCCATAGGTAAAACAGGTACAGGATGGGAAGGTGCTGAACATGTAAAATGAATAATGATATCTCATATTCAAACAAAAGAGCAACTAAAAAAAATTTAATATAGCATCGCAGATATCCCATGTGTCACTAAAGCTACAGAAGTAGCTCCAAAAAACAGATCGGTGGAAAAAAAACTGACCATAAGTCCCTATTAGTAGCAGATGGTAAACAAACAGCAGTGTCCCAACCTAGAAGATTCCAAAAACAAAGAAGTCACGTGTGGAGGGAAAGAACTGAAGATGGCAAACACCCCAATATGGAGGGAAAAAGGACGTATCCCATGAAAATCCTCCCAAAATTTTGCATATAGGGGGCAGCACTGAATGCAAATAGCTATTTATGTGAGAGGATGTAATGCATTGTATGGGAATTTAGAATAGTGGACACAAAGATTGTTTTATTTGCTGATATTATAAAGTTTCTGGATAAAAAAAGTTTTGCTACAAATATTTGTTTTGCAGGACTTTTTTTCATCATTTTTGAAAATATTCTAGGCCTACAAATTAAATTTATTAATTTCCATGATCCAACAAACCACGTAAAAAGCTTACTATCTTGTTCAGATGTAATTTAGCCATATCTTGTCACTGGTTGTGAAAACTACTTAATGCACTATGCAGTCATAAGATACATTAAATTATGGCTCAAGTAAAAGAACAAGCACACAAATATTAAATTATTTCATGTCCCTTAAATAAATTCCTGTTAATTAAATAATTTGAATTTTTTATGTTTGTTGTAAGAAATATCTTTATATTTGGACAGTATTTAAAAATTTCATATGAAATAAAATGATTTTATTATTAATTACAGCATACTGCATTAAACAATTTATCATTACATATTTTGCCACTGATTTCAGTTTCAATACAATGCAACCTTCATTAAAAGTGTGTTAAGGGTCCTTGCTCCTGTATGCAATTTACATTGCTCCCTTTTTGGAAAAACTGTATAACCATACTTTCTTTACCTGCCAAATGTTTGTAAATTACTACTTCTGTGGCTTTTATTTAGGTCCCCTACATAATCTACCTAAAAGTTTCATTATCACATGTACTCTAAACTCAACAATTGATTAAAGGGTTTAAAAATCACATTTCTACAAAAGTGTGATTACTTTTAGATAATGTTTGCTTATCTGTAGTACTCCAGTCTTTTCTCTTGAATACATTGAAAAAGTAATATCCTTATAATTACTACCATGTTCTTAAACATTAAATTACTGACTTGTTTACATACCATTCACTACCTTGCATCATAGAGTAATATTATGCTTTTAACTGCCACAATACACAGTATAAAGAACTGACAATAAGTCTAGTACAAAGTTGTGGAGAGAACATCTTTTTCTCCACAGCTATTTGTATTCACCACATGGCAGATGTGGGATAAGGGTGCCAAAATAATTTTACCAGATTAAAACATATTTCACAAATTTCAAACGAAGAAACACCAGTGCAAGTTCTGTCCATGGCAAACTACTAGTTTAAGTAATAGTTTGTATGCAATATGTGCTATGATTACAGTAACTATTTTTAATATTAATGCTATTGTGATAATCTTGATTTATAAAACCAGCTATACTTTGCTAAAAATAAAACCACACTTGTTGAAATACAAGAATACAAAATTGTTTCAATAATATACTTTTTAACAAAAATTGCAAGTATGTTTTTTCTAATTTTGAAAAACTAATAAAATAACTGATTTGTTATAATTTAGTATCATACCAGAAATCAGAACAAGCTATTTATTCTGGTAGTTCCATTTCAAACCTATCCTTATCTTATTAAATGTGCTTAGTGTCTGTTAATGTTTTTCTAATCCTATGATAAGATGAATTAAATTTTAGCTTGTACCATCTATAAATATTTACAATTATTACTTTAATGATTTAATGCTATGTTTAACTTCTACAGAAACCTAAAAGGTTAATACAAATTTTATACCTCTATGATTGAAAGTACTTGGTTTGAGAAAGATTACAGTTTCTAATTATATCTATCAAACTAAAATATGAACATGTGTGAAAACATAAAACAACATGATGAACACCTCACCTTTTTAATATCCTGGTCAGTGTGTATTGCAATGATCTCATCACCAGATGTTGAAAGATCATTCTCTGCAAGCTCAACTACAGGATTGACATGATCATCACCATCTTTTGCTTTCTTAATCCTGTCAAGAGATTGTTCACCTTGATCAAAAGATACTAAATCATCATTTTTGGTTATGGTTTGAGTGTTCTTAGGTATAACTTTCTCATCATTTTCTGCACCTTCCTCTAGTTCTTCTTCATCATCAGACACAAATACTTCTCTTTCGGGGAGCTGTTCTAATGGCTTTACATCATCTCCTATAAATTCTGGACCAACTTTAACACGGTGTAGGTCTTGTATTATATGAGGTTCAGGTGAGTTTGTAACAGAATCAACATCTTCAGCTGTATCTTTCACCTCTAATAATTCGTGACTTATGTTATTAGGCCGTTCTGTCAAATCATTCATTTGAGACTCCTCACCCTTTGGCAAAAATGGACAAACAGTGACTACTTACAAACATCTTAACAAACCTTACATTTAAGTTTTAACTTAAACTCTGTATCTTGACTCTTTCAGAATATTACTGATTATAATCACACACCAATGTTAACATTTTAAAAAACATCATACAAAGATGTTGCTAATGAGTAACTTTTAACTTCATGTTAAATAATTATCTATTTAATTATTTCTAACAAAAATATTTGCAAATGAATTTCGTAACAATCCATTTAGATCAACCTATAAAACAATTTGAATGTTTCAGTTTAAACTCAAAATTCCATTCATCAAAATCCTCTCAAATAAACTTGGAATCAAAACAGATTTTTATATTACCTAACTTTTTATTTTTTAATCTCAAAAGGAAATATTTAAAAAATGATCAATCTTCATATCTCTCTGTCATGTGTTGCACCTACTTTCTGAATTTAACCTTGTGGATATCTTTATGGCTTTCACAATGTTCAAACAATTACAAACACAAACTATTAATAACGTGTTCTCAAATGCAGCTCTGAAAGTGATGTGAAACTTAGTGAAAAGAAGTGATGTCACCAGCACGATATCTAATGGGTTCTTACTATGATTTTCTGCATTTGACAGAGGACACTAAAGCCATCCAATTACAAGAAAACAGATGTGAAAAGATTAACAGTTAAAATGGTGAATATAAGAAAATTGAAAATCTTGCAAAATAATACATTCAAAGAAGAATAAAAAAGGGTATTGTTAATTTTATTTCATACTTTCAACTTTTCATTTCACGATACATTGATAATTTCACTACAGTAAATGTTAGAGTAAGGATAACAGATTTGGTTTTACCAAAAAATTTTTCATTCATTTAGGAGGTTAAACAAATGTAACATGAAAAACATAAGATGTAAAAAAAAAAGAAGATATTTTTTTTCTAAGAACGAAAATCATCTTTTACTCATACTGACTCAGTAAAGGCTTCATAAATTCAGAGATAAATCTTTATAAAAAATCTGCTATTTTTTTTATATGACAGACTTATAATGTTTACTAAAAGCTTTCCAAATTTCATGAAGATATACTTAATAAATTCATAAATATATATATATATACTACATAAAGTTTCACACTTCCAAGTTGGCCCACTTCATACTTAAGGTGTTAATGAGCCTGTTGATAAATCAATTAGCAAATTATACTAATTGTCTAGTTCTATACTGATAGCCTGTTTATTAGAATGCAACCATTCAGCTACATTTTTAAGTTCCTCATTAAAGTTTTCATAACCTTTATCTGCAAAGAAATTCCTCATGTTATCAGCAAATAATAAATAATTCATTACAAGTCTTGATAAGGAATCCTGTGGTATTTCAAATCTTTTTTTTGTATTTCATCCATATTAGATGCAAACCAAAAAAAAAAAAACTCAATATCGCAATAGTTCAACTTGCTCAGAATTATTTTATGATCATCACATCATAAATGTTTTACAGATAGAGAAAAATACCAACTATGATCTTACTGTTATTGGTCATCTCAGCTATTTCACATAATTTTACAATAAAGATTGGTTAAATAAAAAATTCTAAATCTAAACTATTTTGGTTTAAAAGTTTTATGTTTTAAAATAAAATATTCAAGCACACAGCCATTAATTTTTCTAATATCTTAAAAACACTCAGCAATGATATTGGCCAATAATTTGTAAATAATGACTCACCAACTGTTTTCTATACAGCTATTATCTTTCATCAATCTGAAACTGAGCACTAAATATTGATAAATTTATAACCCTTTTGAGACGGTATAGGAGTGAAAGGCCGTGATCTCATTTGTTGACTCGCACTAAAAATTTTATTGAACTACAATTTCATAAATTTATGTCAATAAGTTTGGTATCAAACTGTAGATTATAAATCAAATTTTAGTACTATATATTACTCAATTTCTTAATTTAAATGTAAATATTAAAAAACACTGATAAACATCAATTTTTGTGTGTCACATACAAAGGTCTTAACTAGAAGAGATAATTGTCTGCTTTACTTCTTTATTTACTATTCTATGCTTTAGGAAAAATATGTTTAAGAAATTCTTTCAAAATAGCAATAATCTATACACATATATGATGTATAGTACTTGAAATGTGACTGTAT